CCTTAAGTAACTTATTTAAGAAGTTTAATTATAAAGAAATTATAAAGTAAATTAATAATAATATCTTTTACTTTAAATGCTTTAATTTTAAAATGTATAAAGATATTTAGCTTTTTAAATTATGCATTATTTATAAAATTAAAGGTAAGATTAAAAAGCTATATAAGAAATTATAGCTTATTATTATTAAATATAATAATAAAAATAAGTATAATATTTTTATATAATTTTTAATTATTTAAAGAGTTAATTAAAAGCTTTTAATTGCTTTAGCTTTATTCCTTTTAATATAAAGCTTTTAATTAAAGCTTTAAAATATTACTTAAGTATATTCTTAATTAAAGTTTAAACTTAAGCAACTTATTTTATATTACTTACTCTTTAAAATTTAAAATAAATACCTTTTTAAAACTATTATATAAGTTATTAAATTACTTTATAATATTATTAAATTTAATATATATTAATAAGCAACTTATTATAAGTTTTATTATAATAATTTAAATATAATTATTTTAATATATAATTTATACTTTTTAATTATAAATTAAGGAAAAAATATTTTTATTATTATTATTATATAAATTAATAATACATTATCTTTTAATATTTTAATATTTTTAAAGTTAAAAGAATAAAAGATTAAAAAGGTAAATATTTAATATAAGCTAAAAAAAATACTTATCCTTAATAAGTTACTTATCTTTAATAATATAATTATAAGTATTTTTAATAAAGATACTTTATATCTTTATTAAAAAAGCTAAGGTAAAAAGATTATACTTATTAATAATAAGGTTAATAATTATACTTAATAATATATAAAATAATATATATAAAAAGCATACTTTATTTTTATTTATTAATTTAAGGTAATGTTTAACTTATTAATAATAACTTAAATTTAAAAGCCTTTTTATAAGAATTATAATAAGCTAAATTATTAATTATAATGATAAATTAATAATTTAAAGCATAAACTTTAATATATACCCTTAAATTTATTTTAAGCTAAATTAATAATTTTTATTAATAATTTATTTATTAATAATAAAAACCTTAACTTATAAATTAATTTTATTATTATATTTATAAATAAAATATAAACTTAATAAGCTTTTAAATAAAATATTAAAAGTAATATTATTTATTAATTTTTAATAAAGTATTAAAAAGTAATTTAAAGCATTTTAGCTTTAAAAATTTATAGTATAATTAATAGCTTTAATATAATTATAATGCTAATAGCTACTTTATATTAAATTATTATATATTTAAATATTATAATAATTCCTTTTATAATATATATTAATTTATACTTTTTATATAAATACTTAATTAAGCTTAATATAATAAAAAAAAAGCGCCTTATAATTAATATTATAATTCTTTAATAATTATATAAAAAGCATAAGATTTTTAAAATTTATTAAATTATTAAAAATTATAACTTAATTAATATCTTTATAAAAAATACCCTTAATAATACTCTTTAATGCTTTATAAATATAAATAATATTATAATTAAAGTATAAAGTTATATAAATTATAATTAAAAAGATAAGGTAATTATTTAAATATAATAAAAAAGTTAAGAAAATTATAATGCATTAAGGCTTAAACTTAAATTATTAAAGTATAATTTAATAATTTATTAATAAATTGCATTAATATAACCTTAAATATTATTATTATACTATATATTATAAGATTATTATATTAATATTAATGCAATTAACTTAAGTATATATATTATATAATTATAAAGATAAAAAATTGCTAAAAATTTTTAATAAGGAATAATAAAATAACTTTTTTAATTAAAGGTAATATATAATAAAAGTATAAAAGTTTAATTTATATTTATTAATTACTTATAAATTACTTTATAATATATTATAATTAATTAACTTTAAATTATATTTTTTTTAAGAATAAATCTTATATTTAAGATTTTTATAATAATGCTTATATATTAAGAATTTAAATAATAAGGGTTATTATTATTTTATAAGTACTTAAGTTATTAATTTATATTTAATAATCATTCTTAATTAAATTTTATAATTTAATATTTATATATTAAAATTAAAAGTATTATTATTTATTAACTTAATTAATAATCTTTATCCTATACCTTACTTTCCCTTTATTTAAATACCTTATTTATTAATTTTTATAACTTATTAACCTTTATTTTAATAACCTATCCTTTAATTATACTTTTTAATTTCTTTATTTAATAAGTAATATTAAGTATAGCAAAGCTTAAGCTAAGTTAAATTAAGAAATTTTAATTATTTAAAGATTAAATAATTATATTAGCAATTTAAGGATTTAATTTAATTCTTATTTAATTTAAGCATTATAAATAATAAAAGCATAAGTTTATAAAATATATTATAAATAAAATATTTATATAATAATTACAATCTTTTAAGCTTTTTAATTTTATATAATTAAAATATTTTAATATATATATATACTTAATTAACCTTTTTTTATTAATTATATATTTTAATAAATTAATTAACTTTTAACTTTTTAATAATACCTTAAGCCTTTTTATATACTTACCTTTTATAATAATATAATATAATAAAATAATAACATACTTATAATTTAATTTATATATATAATTAATTAATTACTTTTTAATCTTAAGTTTAATTTAACTTAATACCTTTTTTTCTTTTATACTTTTTAAAAATAATATGCATTTATAAAATAAAGATTACTAATATAAGAATAATAAATATTATTTATATAAAGGATTATTTAGGATTAGATAGCTTTGGCCCGTTAAAATGCCCGGTAAGTAGCAGCCTTAGCGCTATATATAAAATAACTAGCATAATTAAGCCTTTTGCCTTTCTTCCTTCCATAGTTAATAACGATTAACTATTACACCAACTAAATGTTATATTATAATACGTAACCCAGCCAACACTTAAATTATTTTAATTAATTATAAATAAAGTTAATAAAGCCTTTTAATAATTAAAAAAAAAGCTTTTAAAAATTAATAATAATATAATATCTTTAAATATTATTAAGATAATTAAATAATATAGCTTAAGGAATATATTATATTTTAAAGACTTATTAAGTTAATATCTTATTTTTTATAGTAATAAGGGTATTAATAAAGTTATTTTTAAATTATTACTTTATAATAAGAAAAATAATATTTAGGAAAAGTTTAATAATTAAAAAAAAATTCCTTATAAAGATATTAAGAAGTTAATATAAGGTAGGTATAAACGCATTTATGCGCGTATGCAGGTATGGGCCGGCCGGGATTAGGGGGCGGCCGAGATCAGGGCCGGGGACGTTACCTTGCAACCAGATTTCATTACTGCGGTCCAGAAAATTCTCGCTGTCGGGGAATCATTGGTTGTCGATGCACCGGTCATCGGTACCGTTGCCACTTTGAGTACCTCCAAGGCCGCGGACCCTGCCGGATTTGAGTCAGCCTTCAAGTCAGTCTGTGCGAATTCAAGTTGGAGTCAAGGAAAAATGGATAGATATGAGGACAACCATGGATCCTCTCTTTGGTTACTTGATGAAAAGCATAATCGCTCAAATCAATCGATGCAATACGTGGCATTTCCTCCCCTATACCAAAGCTCCATCGACTGTCCTGGACTTTTGCCTTACGTCCAACTCTACAATGTTTATCGGCAGCAGTGCCAAGGAAAATGGTCAATCACCCGCGCTGGCATTCAACTCATCAATGGTTCCTGTGACGGCGCACCTATGTCGGCGCCTGAGCAGAAAATGATCGTGAAAAATACAATGAAATTGACGGATTTCTATATGCCGACTCTCCTCGATTTCTTGGCCCCTTTTTCACCTTTTGGGTCTAGAAATCAATCGAGCTGGAATGGGCCGTACACGGCGACTTCCGTGGCGGCAATGGTATGGTCGAGAGTTGTGGCTCTCAACACTAATGACGCTCCTGTGGGTGCCGACAGGGGATACAATACGAGTACAATGGCCGGAGCTGCTTGGACGGAAAACAAAAAATTCCTCACCTTTGACGAAATCAAGTTACTATATCCCGTGAGTCTGTCAAACCAGACGATACTTCATATACGGCCAACACTACGCAGGTCACGTTTGCTTTACTTCATTTTGGCCGTTCAACCGATAATTACCGTTGCTATTGTCTGCTTTATTTTAACAATGCATTCGATCCCACTGGATAAGGGGTTTGGTCTGGTATCGATCCTTTCTGGCATCAACGCCCACACTCTCGACATCTTGTCTGGAGCATCACTTTCTGGGGAACTCAAACATCCTGTAAAGCTGATCATTTGCCCCACTGATAATGGGCAGACTGGCAAATTGGATTTCTGGGCTATGCCCATCGATGAAGGATCAGGTGGAAAGGCAAGGTTGCGCCGCGATATTCTTTATTATTGACCACAATCTATTCTCAAGTACTTATATCATAAGAAAGCACCCTTTGTGTAGCTTGGACACTGATTGCCACATGTCCAAAGTGAAGGCATAGTAGAGGAAAACGGCATTATTCCTGACGATTATGATATGTGAAACTGATATTGGCTCCATAATCGTGCTCAGCTCAGTAGCAGCAAACGGGACCAGGAAAGGCACATGCGACTCAAGCCGGCCATCTTGAGGGAGGCGACAGTCTGCAACGGCGTCCATGCAGCACAAATCCAGTAAAAGGGGGATGGGGCGGAACATGACCGGATAATATGTTCTTTTACCGCTACATAATGGAAATCAAGTGAGACAAGGACGTGTATGAATATAAGAATTTGATTGTACATACTGTGAAAACGACCAGAGAATTAGAGAATCAGTCACAGAGAGGAGAGAGAGAGAGAGAGAGAGAGAGAGAGAGAGAGAGAGAGAGAGAGAGAGAGAGAGAGAGAGAGAGAGAGAGAGAGAGAGAGAGAGAGAGAGGAGAGAGAGGAGAGAGAGAGAGAGAGAGAGAAACTAAATTAATACGCAGGACCTGACTGGTCTTACAAACTATTCGTCTTCAGCGCACAAGTCCCAAGGTTGGATGTGGGTGACAATGAACGCCTCAGGCAGGCAAATGAGATTTCAGGCCACTGTCGGAACCACATATTCTCATCGAGGTCGTCAGGGTGAAAGCCCGCCTCGTGGGTCTGTCGCTCACGGGCGACGATCTTCATGTAGTCACTTTGCAATGCCAGGTAGCTCTCAAGGGCAGAATGGCATCTAGCTGGCCCATCTTCGTCGCTCATTGTGACCGGTGTAGGATTATTGGCCCCGAAAACTTGGAGCTGATCCCAGGAAATATGGCCCCGAGGGACGTCGACCATTATGACCAAGTTTCGCACCCCAGGGAAGGTGAGAAACAAATCATGCAGTACAGAGCCCTGATACATAGAGACCCTAATTAAGTTCTCGTGATCCTCCCGGATCTGAATATTTCGCAGGTGAAAAACCTGTTCCAACGTCTGGAGGCTGAGCATGACGGTGTCCATGTCGTCCTCGTCAGGGAGGCCCTCACCAATCGGGACGCCATCACAAATATCCATGAACCGTGCCATGTCATCCGAGAGCCAGAAAACATCTGACGTATGCGAGAGGTCAAGCCCCATCAGCGCGTTATCGTTCTGAGGGGGTTTGATTATTTCGTCGGGGCGACCGAGAGACCGGGCCGCCACGTGCCTACTGGCACTGCATACACCCAGTAGGCTGCTGGCCACCACTTTCGGGTTCTCCGCGTGGAGCTCCTCCCGGTTTTCTACCCTAAACTTCCAGCCGCTGAGGAGCTGCAAGCCGAGCAATTCGGGAAGATCCGTGTCGACAATTTGGACTTCTTCGACGTCCAGGAGTACAATGCGAGGTTTCTGGGTTGCGAGAATGACCTCTTCGAACACCATGAGCTGTAGCTCGAAAGGTAGTAATTGCAAATGGTGAAATGTGCTAGACATTGTTGCTGTTGGTGACTGTGCAGAAGTTGAGAAGGCGATATGTTGCAGTTGGTAGATGGGTAACACTCCGGAAGCAGCCTGTATAGTTATTTTTTGTCACCAATCTCTTACCTGTTGACAGCCTGCCGGATGCCAATTGGAGTATTCTTAATGGGAATATGTCAGAATAGTGTACCTGTAGGAATTAACTAAGACTTTATACATCGCAGTTGTTTGGCTGTTTTGGACAATGCTAGTCACCGGGTACATCCAAACAATGATTTCTCGCTGTGTCGTATCAAAGGCACGGCTAATTGCATTGTGTGCGGAGCAGTCAATTGTTCCGGTGCGCCTCACGACGAAAATGACATTCTCTGTATTCTCAACGGCTCGTCTTTTGGTGGGTAACAACGGGGAAATGGCGAGCGAGGCTTCATGGCCGTGGATACAATAACCAAGTAAGCTCGTCTACGGTCAAGGCTGTGCAATGAAGTGGAATCGAGGTCTGCACAAGAAAGCTCAGTTTACACCTCAAACAACACCGCCCACCACTGGCAGTGTACTCCCGTATGTAACTGTGCCGCTGTTTAGGACTCCCCAAAGTCATGTCATCTGGTAGTCTCATTTTATTCAATTTCATTGCCTCGTTTCCCGGATCGCTTCTCTGTCCGCGGGGAGAAGTGCTTTCAGGGGCCATCTAATTTGCTAATGCTCGGGATGTTAAGCCAACTCACAACGATTTCGGCAAGTTTATCCGCGATCCCCTCTGACGTTAATTCCTGGGCGCATTCCATTAGCAGGGCCGGAACACAGCATGCCAAGCAAGTGGCTCTACACAGGCCTCGGGACTGCACCTACAGGGAGCAGTACGACCAAAATGCCAGCAGAGTAGCATTCTACAGTAAAAAGATGATATCAAAAAATACGAAGAACTGCCAGGTCTGCGAAACAGCCAAATCCATCCTTTCGCTCTCCTGCCACCTTCATCGAAGCCTGCCATCGGATGAGCTCACAAAATGAAGGGCGCCGCTATTCTGAATGCGTTCATTGCAACAGCCGTGGCTGCTCCAAGGCAGCACCATGGGTCACTCTTGAGACGGGCAGACAGGGACACCAGCATCGTCTGGGCTGGTGGCGTGGTCCGAAGCGAAAACATCACGGCAGTCACGGGCACGTTTCGGGTGATACGGTCGACACTGCCCACCGTGAGTGAGCCGGGAAAACACGCGTATTCTGCGAGCGCCTGGATCGGCATCGGTGGCTACACCAAAGTATGCCGACAGTGGCCTGTGGCAGGCTGATGTTATGACCCAACACCACGCCCTGACAGGTGAGGTCTGGCACCAGGCTTAGTAAGTAATGTCATTGAGACGCACGAGAAGGCCATTGTATTGCTAACGCATTATACAGGTATGAACTGTATCCTGATCCTCCCCGTGTTTCTCGACATTGGCAACATTCCGGACGGCGATGTACGTATTTTAAATTCCTCTGCTCGATTGTTTCCCTTCCAGTCAAGTAGACAGTCATGTGCTCTGTCAATTCTACCGTACAGTGTTGCTAAAAGGTTCTGCCCAGACCATCAAGGTATCTCTCGGGGTCCTTAGCTCGACACAAGCAAACGTCGATCTAGAAAACCAGTCTACGGGCAAGGGATTCAGTCAGACGACGAATATTACTCACCCAATTTGCCAGAAGACGGCCGAGTGGATCGTGGAGCGTTCTTACATCCTCTCTGGACTGGTGGGGCTCATCGACTTTGGAACCGAAACAATCGACAATATTGCGTACACCGCTTCGGATGAGTCTCATACGACGGTTCCTGATGATGTGATACTGGTCGACATTGTCAACGACGAGGCCAAAAACACGATACAGACACACACGAAATCTCACGAGGGCTCCATTCAGGTCACTTTCCATGGTAGCTAGGACTGTAGCCTGATAGCATGTCTATTTATAAGTGAGCCTAACACGCCCTTCTCCTCCTGGCGGATAAGCTAGATCACGGAAGCGACATCCGCGCGGATAAAAATGTTGAGCTGTTGTCTTCGAAAGTAAAGTGATTCTTCCTGTTTTCAAGAAACACCGAACCATTCCGAATGTATGATCATGACACAAAGGGGAACCAAAGATCAAAAAATCGATCCACCTGCATGACATTGGGAATTAACATGTGCGAGTCAGTCACAAGCGCCCACCTCGGCATCAAACTTTGCTTCTATCCCGTTCTAAGCCTCAGCTCGATCGCTTGTGCTACCAGGCCGAACTCGAGGCCAAAAAGGACACAATGTCCGCAAAACCCTGCCCGCGCTTGACCAGTCCTGTCTCAATCGATCCTGCACAACAAAGAAAGCCCTGCCGGACCGCGCCGCCCCTCGAGTTCCACCAACCCAATCGCCAGGACAAAGATCGTCACGTCCTCCGTCATCGTCCACCATCCGTTGTCCCCGAGCCACACCCTCGGCCGTCTCATTAATACCACCTCACAAGCAACCACTCATTATCTCATCACCCTCCCCAAAACCCCTCCAACCAATCATGGGCGCACTCGGAGCCACAGCCACGGCCGCCGTCGCCGGCCTGCACGGCTACATCCTCGTGCTGCAGATGTTCCTCTGGGACAAGAAGGCCGGCATGCGCGCCTTCCGCCAGACGCCCCAGTCCGCCGCCCAGACAAAAGTCCTCGCCGCCAACCAGGGGCTCTACAACGGCTTCCTCGCCGCGGGGCTCGCGTGGGGCCTGGCGCACCCGGTCCCGGAGTTTGCGAGCCAGATCCGCCTGTTCTTCCTCGGCTGCGTCGGCGTCGCGGGCATCTATGGCGCTGCGACCGCGCACAGGAAGATCCTCCTCATTCAGGGCGTCCCCGCTGCCCTGGCGGCGGGGCTGGTCCTCTCTGGGCTGTGATTCTGGGTTTGGGCGGCGATGGGAGGAGGAGGTGGTGGTGGGGATGTGCGTCTGGTGAGGAAGGGGTGCGCGAGGAGGTCTTTTGCTGGCGTCCGGTCCAAGGGGTTGTATTTGAAGACGGATCTCACCAGGTTGACGGCGGAGTCGAGCTCCCCGCGGGGGAGGCACCACTCTTTGATCTCTTCTGTTAAGCCTTCGCTCTCACTGTAGGTGTCGCTGCCCTCGCTTCCCTCTGCCTCATCGTGCTGCTGCTGCTTCTGCTGCGCGTTGATGGGGACAAAGAGGGTGAGGGTGGTGGGTTTGGCAAGGAATGCAAAGATCACGTCTTCCGTGCCCGATTCTTCAAGTCTGCATTTCTTTGCCTTTACTAGCTCTTCCGACGACAGCGAGACTGTCTCCGATTCGGCCATTTCGCCGTACTTTCTCTTCCGGGTGGCCCCCTTAGAGGCGATCCACTTGGCACGGTATGGCTGCGGCAGCGGGCCAAGGGCGTCTTCCCACCCGGGAACCGGGGACCATGTCCCCGCCGTCTTCTTTCTTGCGAACGGGTTCCTGGAACCGAGGACGTGCATCAGGGTGCAGCCGAGGGCCCAGAGGTCGGAGGCCTGGCTGGGCCGGGAACCGAAGAACTGCTCCGGCGCCCGCAGGGACACGTCAATGGTCTGGTGGTTCGGACGGTCTGAGGTCTCGAACGATGTACCGAAGTCGATAATGGCGATCTCCTTCTTGAAGTATTTTGGGTCGACCTCGGGCCAGTAGAAGCTCTCGTAGATGTATTTCGGTGCATGTGGTCCCGGCCCGTCGTGTCCTTCGGCATAAAGCTCTTCATAGTTGAACTGGTTTAGAAGAGGGGTGATGTCGTCGATGTCGAGGTCGCTGAGAGTAGTTTGAAGGAGGATATTGCCAGGGTGCAGGTCGCCATGGGCCATCCCCTTGCTATGAAGGAAGGCCAGGCCGCTCGTGACTTGGGAGCAGACGTCCTTTAGGAAGTCGACATCCCCAAGAGCCTTGGCCTTCATCACGTTGGGCCCAAAGGACAGGCATGACAACGCACAGATGTCGTCCGTTGGGGCCATCCTGCCAGAAGTGCTCCAAGGGGACTGCCAGGTGATTCTTGTATGCCTCTTCCACGCTGACCTCGTCGTCGTCTTTCGAGAGCAGCGCGAGAAAACCAACCTCTGTCTTGTAGTCCTCCCCGCTTGTGTCCGCCTGCATGACCTTGACGGCCCGCAGCTTCTTGACCTTTCTGTCCCAACACATCCAGACGGTACCGTAGCTGCCGTATCCGAGCTTCCGCAGCACAGTGAAACGGCCGGATTCGCCAAGTTTGTCCTCGACGAGGATAGGGTGATAGCCGCCCGGACGGTAGTATCTCAGCGTTTCGTGGCGGGAAACGTGCTGGAGTGGACGGTATCTCATTTTAGACGGTTTGCCTGTTGGGGCCGACGTATTCTCTGAGGATGTAGTGGAAGCCGATGAGGCTGAATAGCCAGGCGCAGGCGTCTTGAGGGCGGTGGAGGAATCTGCCATGGCTGCAGAGAAGGGGTATGTCCAGGACAGGGTGTATTGAGGAGGTCAAGTATGCTTTTTGAGTGAGTTGAAGATGCACCAAGGAAGTGCCAGTTGATTGATCGAGTTGATGATGTTGGGCTTTTTCAACGTTGGTTGGGAAAGAGGGCTGAAATTTAAGCTCCAGGAGAGTGAGTGAAGTTTCAATACCTCAGTTACAAGTGAATTGTGAGGAACGCATTAAGTATCACCGCAATTGTGCAGTGGCAATTGTTTGCATTTGTCTGCCTAGGTATGTCCTCGCTGGTGATTGTATTGAGCACCAGAATCACTACAGGCAATGAATGATTGGCTATTTTCAGACGACCGACCGTACCGCTAAGGGATACGCCCAACCACCTTGCACAGGGTTTGCTTCAATTTTATTGCCCTAGCTTTGGAGTGAAGAAGGCCAGCCGCACTGTAACTAGCCGTCCAGTCCAACACAATGAGAGACTCACCATTCAATGTTATTTTCATCTGACCCCAATTCACTTCCATTCAGCTCAGTACAATATAAACGAGGAGTCTGCCGTGTAGAGGTATCCAGGTCTTTAATAATTATCTACCCTGGGGCTAATGAATCCTGAAGCTATGCCGCATCACCAAACTTTTCCCAAACTGTTGCAATTTTCCCCAATTTTACCTTGGCGCCACACTTCGACTCCGCCTCAACAAAAAGCTCGGCCTCCTCCTCGGAGATCGAATGTACTCCCTGATCGCCTGTGAAAACGACTGCTTCCGCCTGCTGAGAGAAAGCCGCTGCGCAAGGGAAGGCCGCGGAGCCGGCATGCCCGACCGCCTCCGCGGCGCCGCCGCCTGGCTCACTGGGGCAGACGCATGCCTCCTGCCCATGAGTCCCTGTGAGCTCCGGGAGGCATTTATGCTGCTCAGAGTCCTCTGTTTCTCCTCCCGGATGTTTGTGAACTTGACCTGGCGCTGGTTGACGAGGTCCATCATGTGCGTTGGCGACGGGGGCGGCTGCCCTGGCTGCTGCCCTAGCAACGGCGCCGAGATGCTCCTGACGGGGTACCGCCTCATGCTGACGGGTGGGCGTGATGACTTGTTGACGTGCACCGTCTGTGGCTGGCCAGGGACCTGTCGGAGCATGCTCAGCGGTGGTCTTCGCTGTCTCCCCTCGGCCTCCGACTCTGGGATGCCTGGGAGGTCCAGCGCCAGCTTTGGGCGGGCCTTCGACTTGGGCGAGGGCGAGCTGGAGACGTTGCGTCGACGCTCTTCCCATCTTTGTCATAGTGAGACGTCTTGATACGAAGCTGTACAACCTTGCTAGGTCCCGACGCCGAGGACTTGCGAGTGGGTATTTTGGGACCGGCGGGTTGTTGTGGGCTGTCTGAATTCTCCGACGCTTTTGAGTCCAATTCCAATGGTTTGGCGGCGTGTTCACCCTTGTCGGCCTCAACGTTGACTGTCTCAGAGTGACTGACCTCAACTCCGGGGAGTGGCTCGTGGTGATGGAGGCTCTTCTCGTGGGTTAAGTTTGATCTCGACTCATCCTGGGATGGCTTGGGTGCAGACACCTCCACAAAATCTATCTCGTGGACACCAGGCGGCGCGGTGCCGACTGACTTGTGCTCGACGCCGGCAGAGTCAATTTTATGAAGTTCATTGGTCGTCTCATTTCCGTTGGGCTGGGCCTCAACGGGTGCCGACCACAGCTTGATGTTGTGGAGGTTCGCCTTCAGGTCGGCAATGTCGTCGTGCTCGCCGTCGTGCTCCCAGTCGTAGTCTGGGTTCGCTGACCGTCTTCTATCTTCAGATATGACAGTCGATGTTCCGGAGCGTTCGGAAGTGGCATAAAAAGAGTCTGCCAAATGTTCTTCCGCGGGCTCATAGGTGGTGCTGACAGACCCAGTCGATGTCGAGGACCTTCGTCGAGGGTTGGTGGATGAAGACGACTTCCTCCGGGGGAAATGCTCCCATGGCCGCCTCGTCAAGTTCATCATGGCCGTCATGGATCGTCTTCTGCGGCTGGGTGTTGTCTTTACGGTGTGGTTTCCTTTCTTCTCGTAATAGGAGACCATGTCCTTCACGCTCGGCGTAGGAGAAGCTGCGTGAATCATGTTGGCCACAGGACGGTATAGGTCGGCAAATTTCTTTGTTCAGCCTGAAGGAGCCGACACTCTAGAGCACACCATGAGAAGAAATTCAAGAAGGGGGCAGGCGAATGTCTCTTTGTTCGAAATTTCGGACCGGCGACGGGACTTTGCTAGTAATAAGGGCTAACCTGGTGCTGGGCCCAGACCGACCAGCTGCTGAAAAGGGGTCGAGCTGGAGCAGTGGCATAGAGTCTCGAAGCGCCACGCTGGTATTCCCAACGTTAGTTCCTGCAGCATGACTTTTCTGGCACAGGGCTTGGACATCCACCCCAGATCTGGACACAATCCGTCCGCGACGCTACTCCCGAACATTCCCAACGGGGCTAGCAATACGGGATGTTGGTGCGCGCCGTGCCATCCGCTGCCTTACGAGACCAAAGCAAAGGTTTCTGCTGTGTGCGATGACTGCCCTTTACAACAGTGAGTCAATTGATTGCGAAATGCAGATAGATGGCAGAAAATGATGGCCCCATGCTTGTGAATTACTGCGTTGTGGACACGCATGGAAACTGACGGCATCCCTGGGTGTTTCGGTAGTTGGACGACGGCATGGCCCGACAGCCCTACGGTTCGTTCTAGTACAGCCCAGCTTAGCCATTTCCGGGAAGATCTGACCTTGTTTCTTTTTCTAGAGCCGCTCGAGCATTTTAGGGCGACTCAGCTCGCCATCGAGTCGATGCTCGAGCACAGTCCGAGATGGAGGAAAACTCTGCAGCTTTGAGCCAACCTCCTGCACAAGCCTGAGTCTGGCATCGAGTCTAACCGTCAACGACCCACGTTTGCAGTCATGGAGGACATGATTGGCAGAAGAGGGATTTTGCCCTTGTCAACGAAAATTGCGCAACGTCTGGTCGCCCTTCCCCAGGTGCTGCCTGAGCTTGGACCGCAATGCCGATCCCACGAGTCCTCAAGTGCCAACCAGAGCGTCCCGCCCGTGACTGACACTCGTATACTGGTCAGCACCGAGCTGTGACTTGCCGTGTATCCGACGCTCTCGCGTGAATTTCGAACAAAGAAAACCTGCCATCCCCTAACGCCTCAACCTTGGCGACTCAACGATACGAGGCCCACATTCTGCTCGTTGCCACAGCCTAAGATCGCCGGCGCCTGGTGATACGAGAAGCGGGCAGCTTTCCCCGGACTTCGTCCACCGTCGTGAGGAAGAGCGCCGATGCTCCGGTTGTGCCGTTCGCATGGTGTGTAGGTGGAGCATCCAAAGACAACATGCTGTACGAGATCAATAGGCGTAGTCTTAAACCTGGACTAGACTCCAAATACATAGAATAAGAAGTGGCCAAGGATCCCACCTGCAAGGCCAACGATGACTGTGGACTTGGAGATTTCTGTCGTAACGGCGTCTGAAATAATAGCGTTGGATGCTTAGTCAATTAGGCTAGCTAACGTCTATTCTACGAGAGGGAAGGCCCCTATTTATAGTTATTATCCTCCATACAGTGGCAAACATATGGGGAAAAGGATATCCCGTATTAATAATAGCCTAGATATCTAGAATATTCCAACACGGCGCAGCGTTGAGATGCAAAGCTTGATGGGATAGGACCGCTGAGGCCAGCCGTGTCTCTAGAAAGGTGCCTATCCAGTAACTGCTGGGCTGTACCTGATGCTCGACAATTGCACGCAAATCTCAACAGTAAAGCAGCTCCCAATTGATGCCACAGTGGCCGTGTGCTTCGGGAAACCAGCTCGGGCGTGTCAAAGAGTCTAGGAGCAGTGATCGAGTTTCATGTCAGAGTCATTGAACAATTCTCAACCGGAGCAAGGACTTTAAAGCTCCAACATTTTACGGGTGTATTGTAATTGCGACCAGCAAACGAGACGCTGCTACTGAGAGACGCGGCGCAGGTGTCTTCTGGAACCTCAGTTGCCAAATTCTTACGGCTACTCCATTAGTGCGAGAAGCTGGAACAAAAACCGTCTCAGCCGTGGGATGGCATCTGCCACTCTCTCCATCCGATAACTTCGGTCAACGACAGCAAAGCTGTCAGATGGATCCGGGCGCTGGCGGCAGCAGAAGCACGGCCAGATGTCAGCACATGACCCAGCCCTGCGGCTTGTTTTGGCTTTCCTGCTGTCTCATGGACAAAATCGCATGTGAAGAGTCTGATCTCGGGTCTGGCCAGTTCGATTAAAACAAAGTCAAAGTCAAACCAAACGTGTCCGTGTCAAAACCCAGGGGCCTGGCTGAGCAGCTGGAGCCTGAGCCTGAGCCTGGCCCGGCTGTGCGTTTAGCAGCTCGGACGGTGCGAGCCGTTTCGGGTTGCCGTTTCTTTGCTGAGCGGACTCCGTTTCTCTTTACCGTTTCAGTGCAGGCCTGCTTTTTGGAACGGGCTCTTAGATTCACAGACCTTATGGCGTGCACGCGCAACATTCCCGTGGGTCGCTGCCTCCAAAGCTGACCATCCACGACAGCAGCCTACGCCTTGAAGATTGGACTTGAACGCAGGCCCGCTCCTCGCGCCAGCCAGCTTGAACATTCAGATGGTGCGGGCAAACTTCTCTGCAAGGGAATCAAGACCCGGTCGATGGATCAGCCCTGGGACATTTTCTGGAGCCAGCTGTAGGATGGCATCAATTGAAAGGAGCGTGTTTCGATGGGGACCCGACACGGCTTTTCGATGTTGAGCATACTCTTCACCAATTCAGACATCGCTAAGCAATGATAGAATTCCGGAATGCATCATCAGGCTTTTGAACCAATCAGTGTCTCGCGGGAGTTGGACCACGTCAAGAACTGCGACTGTTGGTAGGTCTCTCGTACGTATGATAATCGTATGGGAAGCAATCGTGTATTAATATTGTTCTATCTAAGTTCTGAAAGGCTACGTGCCCCATAGGAGATAACTAAAGTAGCCTCTTAATAATAAGGGTTATACTTATTAATACTTAAAATTTTCTCTTCTTTTAATAAGTATATATAATCCTTATTATAATTAGCTTAAAATTATAATTTATTACATATTATATATATATAATCTTTATTATAAAAAAGCATTACTAAAAAGGTTTAAAATTATAATTTATAAGTTTTAAAGCAAGTCTTAATAACCCTTGCTATTGCATTATTTCTTAAATTTATAACCTTTATTATTACATTATTTTTTAAACTTATAATTATTATTATTATATTATCTTTTAAATATTATACTTATTATTTTTAATATTTAGCTTTTAAGATTGCTTTTTTATAGAAATTATTAACTTTTATATAAAGGCCTTAGTTTTAAATCTTTTCTTTATAAGGAAAGTTAATATTTATAAAGTTAATATTAAACCCTTTAACTTATATTTATTTTTATTATATATCTTTATAATATAAATATTATTATTTTTATCCTTATTCTTATTATTAAAATATATTTAATATTGTTTTAAATTAATTTCCTTTAACTACTTTTTATTTTCTTAAAACTAAGCATTATAAGCAGCCTGCTTATTTATTATTTCCTTTTCTTGCTTTTTATTATTCTTTTTAATTTCCTTAATAATTATCTTTTGCTTAAATTACTTAAGTAATAATATATATTTTTTAATAAGTTTTTTTATATATAAGCTTTATATATATTTATTAATAATTTAATATAAAAAGTTTTAAAGCTAAGTTAATATAATAATTTAATTCTTTAATAATTAAATCTTTTTAATTTAATATATATAAAAGATATTTAAAATTAAAATTCTTATTAAGTTATTTATTATAAAAATTATAATAATTTAGCATTTAAGATAGTAATTATTTTAATAATTCTTATTATTAAAAATACTATATAGTTTTGCATTAAGAGTTTTAATACTTTTAATATAAATATATAGCTTTTTAATTATATTATTAGAAAATATTTATTTATTTTAATATTAAAAGTTATTAATAATTTAAATAATAGCTATTATAATAATATTATTTAAAAAAAGTATTTTAGCTTAAGTTATAATTATAACCTTTAGCTTATTAATTTTAATAATTCCTTAAAAGTTTATCTTAATAAGCAATTTATTCTTTTTAATACTTAATATAAGAGTGAATTTAAAGGTAATTTTTATAATCTTTATTAAGGTTTTATTAGCTTGGTTTTAATTATCTTTATTATTAATAATAATTAAATTGCTATTAATATTAAGTAAATAAAAGTTATTATTATTAATATTTTTATTAATATTTATTAAATAAGTAAGTAAATAAGAATTATTATTATTAATATCTTTATTAATATTTATTAAATAAGCATTATTAGCAATAACCTTGCTATAAAAGCTAATAAAATTAATAAGCTTATCTTTATCCTTATTAATTAAGGCAATTTTAGCCCTTTTTATAGCCTTAATAATACTTCCAATCTTTATCTTATTACTTAATAAAAATATAATTATAATATTTATTTTATTAATTAAGGTTATAATTACAATATTTATAAGGAAATCTTAATTTTAATTAAAGGTTATAGCAGGGCTACCTTTAATATTAATTATATTAATGGTAATTATGGCAATAATCATATTAATTATATCTTTAACATAAGTAATAAATATAATATTTACTAAATAATTTTGCTTATTATTATTATCCTTATAAGATATATTAATAAAAATATTAAATAATTCTTATAAGTTATTATTAATGTTTTTTATTATAATAAAAAGGAAAAGATTTTATAGGAATTTAATAATTAAAATAAATATTTATAATATAAAACTTTATAATTATTATATAATAATTATTAATTTATTTTTTAATTATAAGAAAAGTTAATAAGTTATAAATAAATTTAATAAAAGTTAGTTTTAATATTATTATTAATAAATAATAATAAAAGGTAATAATAATAATAAGGTTAACTTTAAAATAATAATTATTAATAATATTAATAATTATAAGGTTATTTTTATATATAATAAGGTATTAAAAAGGTATTAATTAAAATATAAAAGGTTAAAGTTTATATTAAGAGTTTTAAGTTTAAAAGATATAAGGTTTTATAATTAGCGGCGGTAAGGTTAAAAGGAAAAGGTGCTAGCGATAAGTTGCTCCTTTTTTAATAAAAAAGAGCTACTTTAGGTTTCTTAATTAACTTATTTACTTATATATAAAGCTTATTATTATTAATAAGCTTTTATAATGCAATATTTAAAGTTAGTTTTATTATTATATTAATAAAATTATCTTTTTTATTTATTTACTTTACTTTAATAATTTCTTTTATCTTATATAACTCTTATAATAATATAATATTAATTATAAGGCGCTTTTTCTTTATTATTCTTAGCTTTATAAGGTATTTATATAAGTTATATAAGTTTATATAAATAATTAAAGGTATATTTAATAATAAAAGTTATTTTATAGCTATCTTAATTATTATAGCTAAGGAGATTTTAATATTTACTTTATTTATTATATTATAAATTTTATTTATTAATATGCTTTAAATAATATATTTATACTTTATTAATAATTAATAAAGATTATTGCTTATTATTATAAATTCCTTAGTTTCCTTATAAGTTTTATTTATAAGGATAATAATATATTTAAGTTAAAATATTAAGTTTTAATTATTTATAAATAATCTATTTATAAATATAAAAAGTTTTACTATTTTAAGATTAAGAAATATATATTTAATTCCTTATATAGCATTATTTATTTGCTATAATAATTGCATATTTAAGCTTTTATAATTTCCTGCTTTTAAGTTTTATACTTATATAGTTATTAAAAGATTATATAAGGCTTTTAATTAATAGATTAAAGCTATATATGCTTTGCAAGTTCTTTATTTAAGGTATTTTTAAAAAGCATCTTTAATTATTGCATTAATAAAAATAAATTTATTAACTTATTTTTTTTATTAAGTAATAATTAAGCTAGTAATATTTATAGTTATATAAGCCTTGTTATAATTTATTAAGTTTTTAAGCATTAACTTTTATTTTAATTTTCCTTATAATTTCGCAGCCTTTATTTTAATCTCTTCCTTATTTTGGAATTTTAATATAAATAAAATTAATATATTATTTATTTATATATTTATTATCTTAAAGGGTTATATAGGCTTTATAATTATTAAGTAAGAATTATATATAAAGTAATTTATCTTAAGCTTTTATTAATAATGTTTTTAATATATATTAAATTAATAAATATTGAATTTTGCTATATTATATAAAGGTTGAATAATATAAATAATTATGCTTAAAAAGTATTTATTCTTTAGTTTTTTTAATAGCTTTGCAAGGATTATCTTATATAGTTTTAACTTTACTTAAGGGTAAGCTTAAATAATATCTTAAAGTATAAGAATTATGCCTTTTTCTTAAATTAATAAAGAAGTAAATATAAGAATTATTTATTAGCTTATTCTTTAAATAATTAAGCTTTATATTAAGATTAATTCCTTTTTATTATTATTATAACCTTAAATAATAAATTGGGATTTTTTATATAGTTTTATAGTTTTACCTTTTACCTTTTATATTATGCAAAACTTAAAAAAATAATATTTATTATATTACTTTGCTAACCATTTCTTAATTTAAAAGATATTTTTAATAATAAGGTTATTAATTTTTATTTTATTAAACTCTTTAAATAATAAGCTTAATATTATAATAACTTTATCTTATCTTAATTTAATTGCTAAGTTATAATTTTTATTTTCTTTCTTTAAGATATATAATATAATAATATAATTTTTTATTTTTAATAATGGTAATTATATAATAAGTTGCATTTAAAGTTTTATAGTTAAATCTTTTATTTATAAGGATTGCATTTTCTTATTATTATTTTAATAATATAATTAAATAATTATTAACTTAAATATTATAGCTTTATTTAATATATTTAAGGTTATATTATAGCTATTTATGGTAATAACCTTATATAAACTCTTTTATCCTTTTTTTTTTCTTTATATATAAATTTTACATTATAGTAAGTATTTTATGCTAAAGATAAGTTTAACTTTAATATTTAATATATTTTATATTTATTATTTAGCTATGGTTTTTTATAATATTTTTATAGCCTTTAAAATAGTTTTTACTTACTTTTATATTAATAATAATAATAGCAATTTATATAATATTTATAAGTATGCATTAAAAACTAAAAATATAGGAATTAATTTATTTAATTTAGTAATATTATTAATAGTTTTTATAGCTATTTATAAAATAGCATTATTATTTATATTATTATATAGTTTAATATATAGGATTTTATATGCTTATTTAAAGGCTTAATAATATTTTTTAACTTTCTTAATAAATTAATATATCTTTATAAGGACTTATTTATATTTAATTCCTATTATTTATGCTTTTAAATGGAATTCTAAAAATATAAAGTTTATTCTTATATTATATTTAATAATATTTAATAGTTCTTAATATATATTAATTTAAAGCATTTATAATATTTGCTATGCAATCTTTATAAATATAAATTTTAAGAATTTTGCTTTTTAAAAAGCAGTAGCTTAATTTATAATATGGAGAATTAAATATTTACTTAAATATATTACATTAATTAAGATTTCATAATTAAATTTATAATTATTATATAATATAAACTTAAAACGCTTAAATATAAGTTTATTTATTTAATAATAGTAATATATCTTTTTAATTTTTATTATTACTTATTTATTAATATTTAAATTACTAGCTTTTTTAAGCATTTAATATAGTTAATTTATTAATAAATATTTAAAATAATGATAAAGTTTCCTTATTTTTATCTTTAAGAGGAAATATATAGCATTAATAATTTAATTTAGGAAAAACTATAGGTAACCCTATTTTTTAAGTATTAATATAATAGTTATATTATTAAAGGAAACTATTTTATTTATAATATTATTATAATATACTTAAAGCTTATTTATATTTATTAGGCAAAGTAAGAATGGAATTTATGCTTAAATAATATGGAAGTTAATATAATTAATTAGGGTGGAAACTTCTACTATGCTAAGCAAATTAATAATTATTCTATTATTAAATTTAACTTTAGCTTTTCTTATAGCGGTTATATTAATTTAATACTTTAGGTTTTCTTATTATAATGCAAGAAATTGCTTATATTTAGCTATGGATATTAACAATGCTTTAATATTTAGCAAGATTTCTTAAAAATAAGTTTAATTATATTTATTTTTTAAAATAAATTAGCTGGCTATAATAGTTATCTTTATTTAAAAGACATTATTTCTTATGATTTAATGCATAAATGCTTTATTAGCTAGGAAATTAATATTTATATAATAAACCTTCTTATTAAATTTTATCTTTATAATATAGGTATTATTATTATAATTATTATTTTAATCTTATTTATCTTTATATTTATAAAATTCATCTTTATTATTTATCTTATATTCTTTAAACTTATTTAAAAAAGTATTAAAGTTATTATTATAACCTTTATATTTATATTATATTAAATAGCTTCTTTTTATTAAATATTGCTTATTAATTAAATATTTAATTAATTAGCATTTTTCCTTTTTATAAATATAATATCTTTTCTTTTAAAGTTATTTTCCTTTTCCTTCTTTATAAGTATTATTACTTTAAGCTTTATAGCTAATACTATAGGATCTTAACTACTTAAAGCTTAAATAGCTTAAGTTTAATTAGCTAAATTTTTAATTTCCTTAAAATGCTTAAAATTATAATTATTATTTTTTTTTTAACTTTTAATTATTATATTTATAATTAATATAATATTAATTTAAAACTTTATTTATAATATAAATTATAATTATATAGCTAAGTTATATTTTTATTATAAATCTTAAGTTTAAAAATAACTCTTTATATAATTAAGCTAGCTTAAAAGGAGCTATTTTTAGCTTAAGAACTCCTTTATAAGCTTTAATTATTATTATTCTTAAGTTATCCTTCTTAATATAATTTTAGTTTAATGCTTATTAATAAAGTTATAGCTTATTAAGCATTAAATATAAAACCTTATATAAGTTTTTATTTAAATTTTATATTTTTATTTTTATAAATATTATTATTATTTAATTTATATAATAATATTAATAATTAAGATTTATATTAAAATGCATTTTAATTTTAAGATATATTATTATAAATATATTAATTTAATTTATAAAATAAAGATAATAAGCCTTAGCTTAATCTTTAAGTATTTAAGGAAAAACTATATAAAATTAATTTAATTAAATTTTAATATAATAATAAATATTAAAAAACATCTTTATTTTATTATTTAACAAGTTATATAAATCCTTAGTATATTTATAAAAATTATTAAAGGTTTTTATAAACTATATTAACTTTATTAAATTTAAGTATTTATTAAGAATATATTATAAGGAAAGAATTTTATATAGGTTATACTTTTTATTTAATAAAAATATTCTTAAGGTAACTTAAGGTTATGCTAAGTATAATATATATTTTTAATATAAGCTTTATTTTTATTTCTTTATTAATAATAATAAGCCTTGCTAGCTATATTAATTTTTAATAAATTATATTATTAAGTTTAAGTTTTATAATTATATACTTAAAGCTAATAATAGCAATAAATATTATTTTAAGGATTGCCCTTTTAATAATTATTATTATTTAAAGCCTATCCATAGTTTTTATAAAGACTATACTTATAATTACTATTTTTAAAATTATATGCAATATTTATTTATATTTAATTTTAAGGCTAATAAGGCATTATAAAGCTTATTATTAATTTATTTTAATTTTTCCTTAGCTTAAATTATAGCAATTAATTATAATACTATAAGTTAATTATTACATTTTATATAAATGCCTTGCATTTAAAGAAAGACTTTTAAGTATTATTAATAAGGATTTAGCAATGCTTTAAATATTACTTATATTTATATTATATAATCCTTATAATAAATAATAAAAAAGTTATTATTATAGAAATTTTATTATATATAACTTATTAAAATACTTATTAAGTAAGTAATTAAGTATTTTATTAATACTCTTTATATAAGGGCTATAAATTATAATTTTAAATTAATATATTTATAATAAGCTAAGTTAATTAAAGTTTATGCAAGCATTTTATTAACTATATACCCTTTAATAAAAGCTAATAGCTTTTTAACATTATTAATTATTCTTATAAGTTTTTATAATAAATATTATAAGGAATAAAATTAATAAAATAAAGAAATATTAATAAAATAAATAATATTTAAAAATAAGTTAATAATAATAATTTAATAAAAAATAAGTTATGATTATTAAAAGGAAAAAGTTATTAATTTCTTTAAGCCTTAAAAGCTAGGGCTTTTTCTTATTATTAAGTCCTTTTATATTAGCTAAAAGCATAATATATAACTTATGCTTGCTTATAATATAGCATTGCATTAGCTTTAGTAATTATAATAATTATAAGCTTTATTTATTAATAAAATAAAGCTTTATTAAGTTTTATTAAGTTTTAAAAAAAAGTTAAAAATAAATTTATAATAAGTTTATTTTTAATAAAATCTTATATATAATAAATATATATTTCTTAAATAGCAATAAATATATATATAAATATTATAAGGAATGCTACTTAATTTATTTAATCTTTATAATATTTATTTAAGGAATTTAATAATATAAAAAGGCTTAAAAAAGTAATTATTATTATATAGCGCTTATTAATAAGGAAGATATAATTTTTAAATTAAGGAAATCCTTATGGAGTTGCCTCTTTTACCTTATTAATTTATAATACTTATAACTATTAATTAGTATTGGTAAGTTTCTTATACGTATGATAATCGTATGGGAAGCAATTATGTATTGGTGTTGTTCTGTCTAAGTTCTAAGAGGCTACGTGCCCCGTAGGGGATAACTAAAGTAGCCTCCTAATAGCGAGGGTCGTACTTGCCAACAGCGACAGCCGTGTAGCAAGGCTTCTGTCAAGGTACACGGCTTTGGCCAACAGTGCGCCCAGCATGGATCAAGCCCACTTCGAACAACAATCGAGTCAATGTAACAGTGAGAGGAGCAAGGCCTTAGGATTTCATCGAAGTATAAGTATGGTACTGATTGATGCTAGCCCCCTGTTCAAGCAAGTGATTTCCTCAACGCGCCCATCCTCACCAGACGTCCCTCAGATGGAATCAAACAAATTCCGAAGCATTCCCATGTGCTGCTCTGACAACCCAGTGACAGTCGCTCCATCACAAGGCTCATTGAAGACAGCCTCTCCGCATCGATTGTCAGGAGGAACCTCGCTCCAAATTGCCTTCGCCTTCTCGCAGCAGGTGGGGTCTACGTTGGTGATGGAGAACACGCCGTCCTGCGCCTTGCTGTAGTCGGCGTGAAAGCCTCTGTGGACACTCATGCATTGCTTGAGCTCGTCGAAGTCCTTTGGAGGGATGCTGGGGAGGTTGAGCTTGTGGAGGATGATGTCGAGGAGGCTTGGTGACCGTGCGGACGCCTCGTGCTTGGTGATGGCAGGGCTTGCGGTGGCCAGGGCGGCCAGAGCACTTGTGAGAACCGTGGAGAGCTTCATGTTGACTGGGAGCAAAGGCTAGTGCAGATGTCAGTGATGGGACGTGGGATGCGTGTGTCTTCAGAAGAGCGTACCAAGTATGTGCTGGGTGAAGACTGGGGTTTCGGAGCTGTCTAGCAAAATGATGTGGTGAAAGACTGGTAGCTGTGTCTGCAGCTGTAAGAGATGGAGATGAAGTTGGGGAAGGAAGAAGGTCGTCGAAGAGGGGGGGCGGGTCTGTTTTTGTGCTCGAAGGGACCGTTTCCGAATGAGGCATGCGCGATCGATGCAATGAGAACGGGAAGCTGCGGTTGTCACGGAACGGCCTCACCACCTGGCAGTAACATCCTCTCACTTTCATTTGTTCAGGGTCCGAAGGCGCGGCTGTCGACGCGCTTGATTTTTCTCAACAGCTTCAGACTCTGAGCTGTACCTGTACCTACGTTCTGTATTCCGGTGTCTCTCAGTTGACATGTCTTCTTCCGGGACTGATGAACGAGCTGAAGATTATGTACGAAGATATACGTAGGCTTCGAGCGGCAGCGTGCAGAGCAACCCACCAAGGCAAGGTCCCCGAAATAAGATCCCTATCAGGTCCAGTAGAACATTTTAATTCCCGTATTCTCTTGCCCTGCCATCCCATCTGGGCAGCCAGCGCCCATGTGAGAGTTTTGTCCAGTCTTTGGGGAGCTGCGCATCTCCCTCAGAAAAGTCGGGTTAGGGTTCGGTGCATGCTGGGGGGGGGGGTAGGCATCCATCTACCCTGATACCAACGCTTCCCTTTCTGTGACCTTCGCAAAACACTCCCACATATCTCTCACTTTCGTTTCACCCTCCTTTCTCTGATTCCTTCGATCCAATTCTCTTGTCGTCTTATTCAAGTTTTCGGCACCGAGTCCTCGGCTTGTTCCCAAGCATTGTCTTCGACAATCTCCAGCAGAGCCTTCCTCAACGCGTTGCAAACGCAGCCTCGTCGCGCCTGTCGCTCCCAATCCGTTTGCAAAACCTGAAGCACACGTCATTTCCTCGATCACCAGAACGCCTTCCTTCCCTCATCATCCAAAGCCTCGCAAACACAATCAATTGTCACCTGCCTTTCAATATCCTTGACGCGAGCCTTCCCAGCCCCTTCCCCAATTAACTCGATGGACAAGTGTTTGGCCACTGCCAGCACTTCAACATGACTCTGGAAGGGGTATTCAACCACCTGGTTCTTCCCCCGAAGCTGCCTGGTGGACAGGATCCTCACCTTGATGAGGAAGCTCAGGATTTCGTGGAGCGACTATTCAATGCAGTTGACAGCCTAGACGAAGCTACCCACAAGGTGTACACCGAGTCTCTTTCCTCTCTGCGGCAGTCTCTTCGCCTCTGCGCTCAGCTCAATCGTGGCTGCCTTGACAAGGATACCCTCGCGGCTGCGTTCAAAGACCTCGGAGACGCCCCACTGATACTCTACGTCGTGGAGCAGAACGCAGCGCTGATCATCAGACAAAGCAGGTAAGTCTTTCCCCGTTGATTATACAGGCTTCATTATTATACGTCTCTAACATCCGACCTCCAGTGAGACCAAAACGGTCACTTTCGAGGCTTTTGAAGCGTCGCCTTCATCGGAAGACGTGCTGGCTTCCGAGAATGCCTTGATTCAAGCTTTTCCGGGCCGTGCTTGCGCGGTCCCAGAAACTTGTTTCCATCACGAAGACTTCCAATCCTCCCTGGCCGAATTCCTGGAGAAGGCCAGTATGGAAACCCTGAACCGACTTGCGGCAAAAACGAGAAAGGCAGGCGTCGAGATAACCGAAGCAAGAGACACGACAGATCCGGCCATGATCACACAGCTTCTCATGCCTCTCCTTGAGAGTCTTGGTCAAAGTCTCCAGGTTGAGAAATTTCAAAAGAGGGTCCGAGACGACGTCAATATTGAAGTGCAGAGCAAGACTGGTTCTACGCTTCCTTTCCGACGTCATCCATTCTGGCTCATTCTGCGTGTCGCAATTCAACGACACCTAATTCTGTCCATGGGATACTACGGTGGGCGGGCATTGTACAAGTCACTCATTGCCATCGTTCTTGCACAGCTCATGACCAGTGCTGTCGGGCAGCTCAAGCCAGAGCTGACGCTAATGCTTCGAGCCAAGCTCTGCCGACGCCTGGCCAAGCTCGAGCAGGAAAAGGCCCAACGCCTGGGAGACAACGGCGTCTACGAATGCTTCCTCAGCTCCATGGGACCGTGGATGGAGCAGACCATTCAATCAGTCACGAACAGAATGGAGCTTGTTTGGGACCACTTCAAGAAACGAACCATGCGACATGTCGAGCTTCTGCCACCTCCACAATTCGTTCCTCTCGACCACCTGCGTCTGCAACTGCGCCAGAGTGGGAACTATCTTCAGGGGCTCCTTCGCCAGCCCCAAGAGCAGAAGCCACAAAATTCTGTTTTCGATCCGATGCGTATCAATGATGAAGTGGTCAAGCAGGTCCAGAAGTTCACTGCACGCTATGTCAAAATTTTTGTTTTTGAGGAGGGCATCAGGTACGTGACTCATGAGGCATTAGTCATTGCTGTATCCACGGATCTCGGCGGGAATCTATGGTTCTCGTTTCATTTCAGCACTCACGGTCATTGATGTATTGTTGCTGCCACATTCTGACAATTGTTTACTTCCAGGAGTCGGCGTTTCCCTCAAACCTCTACCACGGGCACTTCATCCACTGAAGCAAGACAAAATGACGAACCTGAGCAATTCATCACTACAGGTTTCGATCCGCCAACCCGTCATGTTCCTCCCGACGACGCGCATAATGACCAAGCCAGCGACCGATGTGTTGAGCTCGCAGAGTCCCTCTGCGAGTACTTTGCGACGACCGGCAATGCATATGAATCAAATCCAACCCAACTGAGCGTTTTCGTGCTCAACGTGCTTCATCTATGGGTACTGATGGATATCGCAGCTACTGAAGCATGCCCTCTCATACGAGAATACCATCCAATATTTACACCTGAGCTCTTGAATGTTGTGCAAGTTGAGCACTTCGAGGACTTTCATCGACTTTCCATCATTCAAAGGCACCTGAAAGACAGGATAGATGCCTGCCAGGCTGATTCTTTCGATATCCTCAGTTCTGAGAACTCACCCAACTGCTTTGCAGCAAAGTACCTGGTCAGTTCCAAGGAGCTACAAGCCTTGTATCTTGAGATCCTACAAGATTCCGAACAAGCTCGAGAGAAGAAGAACCAAGAATGGGAAGCCATCTCGGAAGAATGCGAGCAGCTCTCTCAGGAGATCGCCGCGCTGTCATGTCTTTGTACTGGGGAGCCCGGCGACCGCACCAAAGACGACATCAAGAATTGTACGAAGTGTTTTCTCCGAAGGAAACGCCGCCGCTTGGAGATTCAGGTCCACGAAGATTTTCTTCCAATTCACGATACCAAGGCAGCTAAAATCCTCTTCGAGCTTTCCCTACCACGCTGGTATGAAGCGTATCGTAACGTCACCTTCAGAATCATCAACGATCTTGCGTGGCCTGCTCGAATTGAGCAAGATGAGCCGCCATTGGTTCTGCGTGATTTTATTCCGCTGGCGAAATACCAAAAGGAACGGTCTGTCGCTGGAGGCGTGACACTTGCCTCACCGGCAAAGAGCTTCCTTCAGACACACTGGAGAGTCGTCCAGGTCCTCCGAGGCTCAGTCCGGGAAGTCTTGCGCCCGCATGGCCCCGAATTTGATCTGTATGATGTTAACAACAAGGTATGGGTCCAAGGCATTGACAGGCACTCCCTGACGTTCCAGCATTTATGTGGAATTGTCATACCAGCATGCCTTCGAGAACAGGTGCTTCCTGCAGATCCACATCCACCAGCTGTCCCCGAAGGCCCGTCCTCTTACGCTGTGATTGCGAATCAGCGCCAGTGCCCACAACAAGTGTCCATTCACGAGTTCTCCGCATACCAGAGGCTTCTTGCTGGTACATCACGACGTTGGATGACTATGCTTGTTGAACTGGGTTCATCGCATCTCAATTTCTCCAGCACCGAGACAGTCCGGCTCTTTTCACAGTTGGCTCTTCAAGCCGGTCCACCTGGCATGCGTGGTCTGCGCGAGTCATACCGGGTTTTTGCTGACGATGACTTCTGTTTCCGTCTGGCAGAGATGATTGATCAACGATTAGAGGCCATCAAGTTAAATTGGCGCGAAGTCAGCCTCATGGAGCTGTGCATTGCGCTGAGTCAACGCCTTTTTGTATTCACCTCCTCGTACGAGGCACGTGAACTAGCTCAAGGATCCATTCGCTGTGCCCGCAACGCCACCCTTCGATGGATTACCAGGCTTCGTGAAGAGCTGCGAAATGCCAAGGACGGCTCTACTGCAGAGAGAGCGGCTGCTTATGCTTTCAAGTCTGCTCTCCTATGCCGACGGACCTTTGCATCGACATCAGATCAGCTGAGTGCCGAGGCATTGAAGGCGTACTGCGAGGCTTCTATCGCATTGCAAGAACATATGACAACCGGCTTCGAAAACGACCCTCTGCTCAAGATGATGGTAATACAGGACACAAAAATGGACATTCGAGAAACCATTTACTCATCAATGCAGGATCATCCCCAAATTCTAGAATCGGCTATCATCAAGAGCTGGTCGGAGTCCGGTGGTTCAACTGATACAGCATTCTCTTCGTGGACATCAACGGAAGGAAAGGAGCCATGGGTGGTGGCACGAATTACCACGAAAGTTCCGGCCCCCATGGGTCAATCTTATTCATTCAGTCAGACTGTCCACTTCAATTATGTATCGGGCTTCCTGCTAGTCAATGGCAAGCCCGCCGGTCGTCTGCCAGAGCGCATTCGCAATTCAGAGGAAGTCAGAGAGTTATTCGGAGACCACACGCATTTGCGGACCTACCCATCCGTGCTGAATGGCATGTCCCACCAGCTTGTGGGTCTTGTCGAAGGCTGGCAGATCCACTTTGGCCTCAGAAATGACGAAGTACTTGTTCGGGCAATTTCAAAAACAGCAGCGCTGGAGTTCATCCCACGGAAGGTGTTCTTCAGAGAGACCGCCTACGATCTGCCCGTGGACTTACTTGAGAACTGTGTCCATTTCCTGAATCTGTCAACAGGACGTCTACAGATTCACCGCCGGCCCAGAATTTGGACACTGAGAGAACGGGACTGGGTGATTGACCTTCGCAGTCGCCAGTGCACACGGAGCAGCGGAAAGCTTGGGCGACTCTTGTGTCCTTACTCTGAGACTTCACAAACTGTGGCAAGACTTTTCAATCACTTCGAGCGACCGGAATTTCTCAAGATCTTCTTGTCCACCAAACACAAGTTGTGCGTTGACTTGAGCCGATTTGAGCTGTCGTTCCATGTCAACAAAGCCAGGCGGCTTGAGGAGACCAAGCTCGGCAAAGAGTTTGACCCGAATCAAGATGCCGGTACGCTTTATGGACTTCTCAGCAAGCTTGTTCTTCGAGACATCGCAAATTCGAGGAGACGAACCGTCATCGTGCCGCTCGGAAGGAGTGTGTATCGTCTGCGTGAATCACACGTGGAGGTTTCTATAATTCCATCGAGCGCAAATGCCTATGCCAAATATGAGGTCGATGATGTTCTTGGTCGGCTTACATGTCCTCCCGAACCTGCCTTGCTTTATACCAAGGCACATCTGCACGCATTGACAAGCTTCCCGATTCCGGACACGTTAACTGGAAGGACTGGTACCGAAGAAGCTATTCATATTCTCCAGTCCGGAATGTCTCAGCCATGGACCCCACTTGGTCGAAGCCCCATATCAGAATTGGAAGCCATCGCTGCACTTTCTCCGATGAGGGAATTCTACCCCGAGGACAAACGTAGCCTCCAAAAGATACAGTGGAGTCCTAATCTTTCAGTTTCAATTCAGCACGAGCGTCTGGAAACCCTCGCGCGAGACCTTTTGCGCAAGTCTCATCGTCTGCAGCCTTTCTCAGAGAACACCCTGCATGTCGACGAGGTGGAGATGGCGTCACATCTACGACGACGGGCCGAGATGAGGCGCTCTGTCTACGATCCTTCTTCGATACACCCACCCAGTCGCAAACCTTTCACCAAGCACACCTCCAATGGAAGCACCTCCAACGGAAAGCTGCAGCCGTTCCAAAATGACCCAGATCAATCAACACGGGACAGGTTTTATTCTGCCAGGGACCAGGGCATTGATTCCACTATGGCTATGAATGTCAAACACATAGTCAAAACAACTTTCAAGAGACCCTTCTACCTTTCCAAGAGAATTGACGTACGATCTAGGCTTATTGGAAGACAGATCATTGGCGGATTCCAGTCTGGTGTGGCTCCAGAGGGCCTAGGCAAATTGGTTGAAGACACGGTGATAGAACAATTTGGAGAGCTCGTCGAATTCAGCAGGCGCTTACGCCCCGATCGACTGTACAGACTTGCTTTTCGACTCGCACTGTTAAGCTTCAAGCCGCAGGCAGACTTAGATCTGCTTGAGGTGCTGGTCGCACTCGCGAGGTTGGATTCGCTGAAGGTTTCAGTTCCACCTCAACACCCCGTTTTTGTCGACTTTGATCTCATGGCGCCTACAGTCGAACATTTCGAAGCCTTAATTCAGTCCGCTTGGCCTCCATTCCTCCAACCTCGTGGAAGGAAATCGACGAACGTGGAATCTCGAGACCAGCACTTGATGAAATGCGAGGAAGAAGGCCGGCGGCTTGCAAAATGGTTCGTCAGACAATGGCCGTCCGAATCACCATCCCTTGATGGTTTCCAGTCCGGGACAAAGCTGCTCGACGGGACTGAAGCCCTGGACTCGGTTCTTGAAGTGTGGCAGCGGAAGCTGAACAATACCGAGCTCGACCTCTACATTGATGAGATCCAAGGAATCTTGGACAAATTTGTGACCGAGGGCAATGGCATAATGCAGGTATCACAACCCCTCCCTCTTGCCCCCACACTTCCCAATCACATTTCTCGCACAAAGCCCGTAACTCCATCTCTTCCTCTCGAGCTCCTCGACAAAACCGTTCACACTTTCAACTCGTTGATGCCGTTGAATTCGCATTCGGTCCAGTGGACACAAATGCAAGCTACGTCCAAGCCTTTGCCAGCCGCCCCGAGACCGGAACTCAACGAACTGCAGCGGATTCTAGCTGCATTCTTGAACTCAAACGATCAGCTGAGAAAGCTTTATGGAGAGGATTTACTCCAAAGCTTGCATGCGATGAGGAACGGTCAGGCGTTGTCATGCAGCCAAAGTCCAGATTTGCAACACCGGTACGAATCCGCATCACAAATAGTTTATTTCATTGATCGAAGCCGCACAACAATCGCAGAGCAGTACCAATCCATTACTGAGGCACTGGCGAAGGGCGACAAGCGCTCGGTCTGGCTCCGAATGGCCCACCTCTGGCCTGGAGGCAAAGTGACCATTCTGGAACAGCTTCGCTCGACCGCCAACAGCCACTTCGGCGCCGGGATGAAAGAAGCAATTATCAAATTCGGCGTCATGAACACCGAGCTCCAATGGCTGGAGAGGCTTCGACATTATCACCTCACCAATGACGGTGCCAAATTGATTGAAGCTTTGAAGAACACAGGGCATCAAAACTGGGACCCTCTGCAGAGACCCGACTGGCTGCTTATGGAATTGGAATGTGATCTTCTCATCAGGCCTGAGCAGGTTCAGGTTGCCAACGCGATCATATCCCCATCATCCGGCATGAACTCTGTCTTGCAGATGAACATGGGTCAAGGTACTGTACTTCGCCACTTGTCGTACTGGGGTTTCGCTGACCAGTATGTACGTATAGGCAAGACGTCCTGCATTGTGCCAATGTCAATCGCAATACTCGCAGATACCAGCCAGATTGCTCGCCTTGTCGTGCCCAAAGCGCTGTTGCTGCAGTCAGCTCAAGTGGTTCAGTCGAGGATCGGCGGTCTCGTTGGTCGAGAAATCCGCCACATTCCCTTCTCTCGCCGGACGCCATCCACGGATGAGATTCTTCGTCTTTACAGGGACTTGCACAAGGAAATCCGTGAAGAATCAGGCGTCCTCCTGACTACGAGTGACCACATGCTCTCATTCAAACTCAGCGGCCTCCAACGTCTTGTCGACTCGAAGACATCCGAGGCTGAGACGATGATTCGATTTCAAGAAACATTGACACGATTTTCCCGAGACGTCATTGACGAATCCGACTTCACTCTGGCGGTCAAGACACAACTCATCTATCCAGTGAGTCTCTACCCACCCAAACATTGAATTCATGCCAAACCCCACATGCTCAATTCTTTTTTTTTTGCTGCTTCTTTAAGAGCCTCATGAACTCTTCCATCAGACCATCTCCCCCCCCCCCCAACTCCTCCTAATTTTCCCTTTTTATCCCTGTGTGGCCGGGCGCCATCCAGTACTGCTACAACCCAACCCTCAAAAAAGTCAATTCGGAGTGACATAGATTCGTGCTGACCTCTTCTTCAGAGCGGTCCTCAGCTGTCTGTTGACGGGGCTCCTCACCGGTGGTTGATCATTCAAGAGCTCCTCCGACTCTTCGAGGAGCATCTCCCTGCAATCAGAAGAGCGTCCCTTCCAGCGTGGAAGTCGTTCCGCGCTCACAGCTGCAAGCTTTCCCAATGGCGTTTTTGCTCAGACAGGATGCTGAAGATGAATTCCACCGTCTCATTATCGAGGACATCGTCAACAACCGGACCTCTTTCTTGCGACTCTTGGAGTCCGGAGTTCCGCCAAAGAAAGTTAGGAGGACCATACGGCAATTTCTGTCCGAAGCCGACACTAAGATGCAGGACAAAGACGGACTGAAAGAAGTGGTCAATCTTTTTGCTGATCAGGAGTCCGCAGCAAAGACTCTCCTACTGGTTCGTGGTCTTATCTTGAACAGAATTCTGCTCTTCTGTATGAAGCGACGTTACAATGTCCAGTATGGGCTGCACCCAACACGAGACCCAATGGCTGTTCCGTTCGAAGCCAAGGGTGTGCCTTCTGAAAGCAGCGAGTTCGGTCACCCAGATGTTGCCATAATCTTGACAACGCTGTCGTTCTACTATGCGGGGCTCACCCCTGCTCAGTTCCGCCAGAGTCTCTCCAGTGTGCTCAAGGCTGATGACGCTGCCTCCGCATACGACCGATGGATTCATGGATGCGACACATTGCCAGCAGGGCTGCGTCACTGGAATGTCATCAACTGTGACGATGATGGCCAAGTTGATGAGCTGTACACCCATTTGCGTCTTGACAGGAACGTTCTTAACTCTTATCTGAACGCTTGGGTGTTCCCCTTGTACGCTAAGCAATTTGGCTTGAAACTCTCGGCGTCTGCATGGGATCTTCCCAACTACACAAGACCCCAGAAGTCAGCGTTGTCGGGGGCGAGAAGTACGGGTTTCTCTGGCACCAACGACAACAAATCGCTGCTGCCGTTGACGATTCGCCAAGATGACCTCCCTAGTCTGGTTCAGACCAACGCAGAGGTCCTGTCTTATCTTCTCCAGCCGCGGAATCGCCACTACTACTGTGCAGCCTACCATGGCACTCGGATGACCGAAGAGCAGCTCCTGCACAAGTTATACAAGGAGAAAATCATGGTTCTTATCGATGCTGGAGCCTACATCCTTGAGCTCAGCAACCAAGCACTGGTCAGCAAGTGGCTAGAGATGTACCCAATGGCCAAAGCTGGAGTGTTCTTTGGATCGGACAACCGCGCCTGGTAAGATATTTCCACCGTTGAGGCAGGGGACCCAGAAAACTCGGATTAGTACCAAAGCTCTAACTGGCAACAGGGTCCTCTACAGAGGGGTCAAAAAGAAGAAGGTCCCACTTGTTGCGACTCCTTTTGCGGACAACTTGGCTGATTGCTTGGTGTTTCTGGACGAGGCACATTGCCGTGGAACCGACTTGAAGCTTCCTCAAGACGCCAAAGGAGCGTTGACACTTGCTCTGGGCCAGACGAAAGATCAAACCGTACAGGGTAAGTATTGTGGCTTTTCTTCTACAGCGCTCAAAGTCTAACAAGATGCAGCTGCGATGAGGCTCCGGCAATTGGCAACGACTCAGTCAGTTGCCTTCTTTGCCGGCCCTGAAGTCCATCAAAGCATCATTGATGTTTGCAAGCTTCCGAAAAATGGCTTCATCCACTCTGGACATGTCGTTAAGTGGCTCCTGGAGCAGTCATGCTCTGCCAATGAGCATCTAGTAAATCTTCACCTTGCTCAAGGCGTGGACTACTGCCGGCGACTTGATGCACAATGGAGGTACGATAAGTTCTTAGCCACAGACGAACACCGCATGATGCTGCTTAACGTCATCCGGCAGCAGGAGCGACAGACCCTGAACCAGCAATACGGTCAGGTCTCCGATAATTCCATCAAGGGCTCATCAGATGAGGTGGTGTTCCCTTGTCTCAAGACATTGATGTCCAAGCTGGCCTCTCAGCGGAGGTCCATGGCTGGCAAATTCAATGCGAATGGCATGCACAGCTCCGCTCTTGAGGAGGTGGAGCAGGAGCGCGAGGTCGAATTCCAGGTTGAAGAGGTGCGCCAGGTCCAGAAACGCAAGGTTTTCAAGCCGCTCGCCTTCTCCCGCCTACACCCTGCTTTCGAGGACTTTGTCCACAAGGGAAGGCTTGTTGGCGACGAGGGATACGTGCATGCCTTCACCTTCCTGGGGACCACATCCATTGGTCAGAAGTTCATGGTAAAGCGAACCTCGAGCCGTTTCTTCGTCTCCAAAGAGTTCACTCGCACTGTTGTATTGAGCAAACAGGGGCAGAATAAGCATCCCGACAACTTCCTTCGACCTGTTGAGTGGATCATGTGGAGCTCTTTGACGGAGACTGCCCTGGTTGTCATTCCTGAAGAGGCGGAACTTCTGATCCCGATCATCCGCAGAGCTGGCCCTAGGTGTCTGGTCCACCTCATGACCTACGCCGCACCGGTAACCAAGTCGACCCTGCGGAACTTCAACAGCCTCAAGTACTACAATATGCCGACACTCCCAGACGATTACCAGTTTCCAAATTGGTTCACCGTGGAGTTGGGCATTCTTTCGGGACGGCTTTACGTCAGTCATGAGGACTGTGCCCTTGTCGCGAAGTACCTGCAGATGTCGCAGCAAGTAGAAGACCAGATGGACGGTTCAGCGGACGAAGAGGAAACGTTTGCGCGAAATCCTGTCACGTTCATGTTGGAGTGGCTGGCCCATCGCAGGCAGTCAGATATCCAGCAGACACCCATGGGATACATTCTAAGAGGCAGGATCGAGGCGCTGCACCCGGAGCACCCCTTCTTTACGGTGAGGACGGACGAGGATCAAGGCGTCTTGGAGGCACCTTTGTCAACCGGAAATCTTCGCAAGGTGGATGATGATGAAGACGATGATTCCTCCGATCTGGATCATGATGATGATGAAATTGACGAGGGATGGGACGACCTCGGGCAAGAGCTCGAGGGACTAGGGCTAGGAGACGGCCTCGTAGACGGCCCCGCAGAGCATCTCGGAGAGGATCCCGGCCGAGAGAGCCCTGTTGATGGCTGATTTGCAGTGCTGTGATGTTTGGCACGAATACGAAAGTTTGGAATCTTGCTGATTTGGCTGGTTCTTGGTGTACGAGTAGGTTGGAAAAGTTCTTGATGCAGTTGCTCTGGTAGAGAAAATCAAAATCAAAGTTTTATTTTTGTAAATGATGGGCTCCTTCGTCATCCTTGTGTTTTCTTCAGCATGCAGGGACTGGCCTGCTTCATGCCACCAAGAATCCAGGATGGGCATGCTCCCGCGACTACAGAGTATCAACCGGAGGATGGCGACAAATCAGCAGGGGCGTTCGGTTCGGTGAACATAATCCATGAGCAAGACAAGAATCTAGCAATGGGCGTCACAGGGGCTTCTCGTCAAGATCAAACCAAGACTACGATTTGGCCCGAGTCCAGGACTTGAGTTTTGTCTCCGGACTTTTGTCGAGTCAGTGCCGCGCCTGGCTTATCTCCCTGCAAGAAACTGCTCAGCCGGTGGGAAATTGGCGCCAGTCCCGTTGCAGGGAGGATGCCATGATCTAAAATGACAGTAGGAAGGGTTCGATGCTTCTAGACTGATGAATCGCGTGGGATGGCGCCCGAGATCCGACGTTAGCTCGGCGCCTAGCTCCTCGTCGCGTTCGACCGTGAAATTGGCTGCGTCGTTGAAATCGGCAACGTGCTCACTACTGGGAATTCCAGTCATGGCCCTCCTCACCTTTTTTTTCTCTTGGTCTCGCGGCACAGTCGCCATCGTTGGTTCTTTGGAATGGGGCCTGAATAGTCCGTTGAAACAAAACATGGCGATCGGCGCTGGGGTTGCTAGAGCCATCGAAACATCGGCAGAAGTCGATCAGGTGTCAAATTGAACAGGACTCCCCGCCGAGTGGGCCAGAAATCCCCAGGATCGCTCTGTCAATGTCGTTGCGAGGGGTCCGGTCCAAGAACCTGGGCAACCTTCCCTCCTCATTTCACACTACTACCGCTGGACTCAATCCGCTCACTGACCATCCGGAGTCCGGCTGAGCTGACCCCTGACCAAAAGCCCACTCACCGTTCCCTCATCCGGATGCTGTGATGTTCCAACGGCCCACCCTCGAACCTGGTCAGGCAATCAACTTATTGCAGTGGACCCGATACCCCGGACCGGTGGGGACCTCCCACCTCTCCTGATCGTAGGCGCCCGTCTCGGCGAAGGCTTACATCCTCCCACCACGCCTTGGCATTTAAGTAGGACGCGCCCTGTCGAGAACGCTGCGAGGATTTCTCGTTGCTCGTGGTTCATCTTCGCAACAGCAGGCATTTTCTGATACTGTTTACTTCTGGACTGTGTCCGAAGCCCCCCCCCCCCACTGTCTTTTCTGCACTCTTTCCTGACCTGTGGTCAAATTCCAATCATTTGTTTACAAGCACCGTCTCTGCGACCAACAACAGACATCCACTCCCTAGAAAATGCCTTGCGTGAAGACGTCCACGCTCAGCAGCGCCCTGACTGCAGCCACGGCAACCCTGTCGTCCATCTACTCAGGCTCCGTGCCGACCTCGGCCCCGGCTGCTGTCCAGACGTCCGTCTCCGTTGCCACGTCCTCGGCCGTGGCCAGCAGCGCCGCGGCCCAGGCCACCGATGCCAGTAGCGCGCCTGTTGCGCCGACTGCGACCAACCAGACCACATACGCTGGAATCAACATCGCTGGGTTTGACTTTGGTTGCGGCACCGATGGAACCTGCACTGTGGTATGTTTTCGCCTGGTGCTTCAGCTCGTTTTGGTCATGGTGGCTGACGGTAGACACCTTTTAGGATGGAATCACAGTGCCCAGCACTGGTGCGGCACAGATGCAGCACTTCTACAAAAATGACAACATGAACATCTTCCGCCTGCCTGTCGGCTGGCAGTATCTCACCAACAATGTTGTTGGTGGGGACCTGGACTCTACCAACTTTGGGAAGTACGATGGGTTGATGCAGAGCTGTCTTGACCTTGGGGCAAAGGTAAGGGACCCCATGATCATATCTCTCGGCTGAGGATCACCACATGCGTCATTCAGGTCTCATGTACATGTTCGAAAATTTGGACATGAATGGTCTCAAGGGCTTCAAGGAAATGTGGCTAATCGGGTTCTAATCAGTGTGTCATTGACATCCACAACTACGCCCGATGGAATGGGCAGGTCATCGGCCAAGGCGGCCCGACGAACGACAGTAAGCTGCACAGGCTCGCATCACATCCCCAAGGACCACCACGGCATACACTAACACATGACCGTGAACAGAATTCGCCGCTCTCTGGGCCTCTCTGGCCACCAAGTACGCTGACAGCCCCAACGTCATCTTCGGAATCATGAACGAGCCCCACGACGTCACGACCTCGGCCTGGGCCGAGACCGTCCAGGCCGCCGTCACGGCCATTCGCAAGGTCGCCCCGGACCACTGGCTGCTCATCCCCGGCAGCACGTACTCGTCCGCCGCGGCCCTGCCCACCGAGGCCGGGCCGGACCTGCTCAAGGTCACCAACCCGGACGGAAGCACCAAGAACATCTTCTTCGATGTGCACAAGTACCTCGACGTATGTATCCTTCCCACCCTTGCCCACGATTACCATGTCCCGTCCGTCCAGACAGAAAAAAAAAAAAAAAAGCTGACAAGACGAAAAACGCAAACAGAGCGACAACTCAGGCACCCACACCGACTGCACGACCAACAACATCGACGACGCCTTCGCGCCGCTGGCCAAGTGGCTGCGCTCCAACGGCCGCCAGGCCATGCTCACCGAGACGGGCGGCGGCAATACGGACTCGTGCGAGAAGTACGTGTGCGAGCAGTTCGCCTTCCTCAACGAGAACGCCGACGTCTTCCTCGGCTACGTCGGCTGGTCCGCCGGCGGCTTCGACAGCACCTACGAGCTGTACCTCACGCCCACCGGCACCTCTGCGGACTCCATGACGGATACGCCTCTGATGAGCAAGTGCTTTGCTCGGTAAGGGCGTATGAGCAAGGACTGGTATTAGGATGAGGTCGGATCTTGATGACCATGATTCTGGGTATGTTGGATGGTGGAATTGGGGTGTCGGAAATCTTTGTACTATACATTTCACTTCTTTCATCCCCGCGTTTGAGGCGGTTGCCGAGCAAAGCAAAGGAATCAAATGGCCTGCTCTTCCATTTGGAATCTTGTGGCAGTCTATGACTCAAGTCATCCACGCACAGTCTGAAAATTAGGCAATCGAAGTTGATTCGAGACGTTCCTGCTCATCGGATAACTCAATGTTATGTCTAATCCATCATCCGGAAAATGAAGAATAACTTTAGAATAACAGTGACTCCCAAGAAAACCAGGCATGTCTATCAGGAGTAAGACAAGATGAAGAAGAGCAATAGAAATCAGTCCAGCAACAAACATACTCCGAAAGCAGGACCCTAGCCTGCCAGCTTCACCACTTCTTCTCACCAGTTGTTGGCTTCGCCTGCGAGTCAGAGGAAATTGATAGTGACGCCCTTGGAGGTTCGGGGAACATAGACCTGGACATGGTCCGACTCCTCAGCACCATCGTCCCTCATTTCATGCAAGAGCACTTTCAGAGTACGCCGTCTGGTGTGTATTATCTCTTCGCCATCATCCGCTCCACCCGTGTCAGCCTCGTCGCCCTCGTCTTGGAATCCAATGAAGTCGTCTTCCGTCGGCTCTGTTTTGATGTTCGTCATCAGGTTGTTGTCTTCGAGGTCCTTGGGATCGTCGAAGATTCGCTGTCTCTTTGTGCGGTGTCTCTTGTTGTCCAGTCTCACCAGGCGTCTCTCATTGCTTGGATTGTTGACATGACGGGCAGGTGAAGCGTCCGTGGCCACGGTTGCGGGTTCCGTGGGAAGTGAGACGTGGATGGTTCCATCGCTGTTTTCGCGAGCTGGCTGATCTGTGTGACCACTGGATTGGGGCTCGTCGACCTGGCTTTTGTAGGCTTGAACCAAGGATTCCTCAGTCTGTCTGGGCCCACCCTGGTATTCGCGGATGAATGATCGAAACCAAGGGTATTTCAAGACCCTGTCTCCCCTTCGCTGGTTGGCCTTGTGGATGAAGTAGTCCAGGACCTTAAAGTCCTTCTCCATGGCGTGGAAAGCAATGAACTTGTGGATGTTCATGTCTAGAAAGCCGCGGATCGCCTTCATGTCGTCGCACAACTCGCCCAGGTTCTCGGCATCCCTCATAAAAGCCCTCACGGTGTAATTGTTGGCATCTGAGTCATTCCATGAATGGGCCTCGGCAAACTCAACGGCCATCTCGGCGATGTCGACTTTCCATCCTCCCCGGCGGATGCGATCCTCTGCCTGTCTTCTGCGGTTCTCGAGGTCCACCCCAATCACACGTTTACTGTTTCTGGGCTTATCCACTCCCAAGTCCTCTGTATCGGAGCTTCCGAACGGGTTATCACCCACTGCACCATTCCCAAGCTGTCTGACCCGGCCTGAACGGGTTTGCGGCGGGTCCCATTGATCTGGTAGCACAGTCGAGCGAACACGGTACGCGGGGTCTTGAGGTTGATGTCCTGGGACGCCATGCAAGTCCGAAAGTCGAGTCTGGCCACTGGGTGGGTTCATTGGAATCGTGGGCGTGTTGTCCGTGCCGAAGAGTCGTCGACGGGGGTTCAGGAAGTACCCGTCCATCCTAGATTTCTGGCGGATGGATGGACGGTGCATTTCGTTCGTGCGAGGATGGACAGTCTCACGCACAGTTGAGACGCCTGGGTTGGCGGAATGTAGGCGTGGGACGCAAGATGCTTTTGAGTGAAACAAATGTTTTCAGGATTGGAGTTGCGTCTGCCAGTTGTGATTGCGCTGATGCAAGCGGGATTTGATTGCTGATGGATAGCAAACCGCTCCTTCTCGATGACAGCTCTGGTGGTGGGTCTGCCTAATGATGGCCCGCTGCGTGCATTTGGAAGCTGCAACACAAGCCTGAAACTCTGCATAAGGAAGGGGCCACTTGAAGGCAACTTACAGAAAAAGTCGCCCATGAAGGAAGATCATGCTGGAATGCCAGTGTTGGCGTCACACCAAGTGAGCTTTTGTCTCTCTACCGCGCTAACTTATGCCTTGATACAAACGCAGCGTGGTGCATGTAAGAGATGCCCACGGCGCTTCCTCAGGAAGTAGGCATAAAGCCCGCCTGCCGTATACACCGCTCCGACACTGATGACAACCGGCCATTGAAATTGATCAGGCCTTGAGAAGATGATTGTTGTGACGTAAGACAGTATCTCGAAGAGATTCTGGAATGACGCCTCCACCGCAGAAAAAGTACCCCGATGGTCGTCCTCAACCTCCTGTCGTTCGCCAAGTCAGTCATCCTAGCCATGGGTGAGGCTTCACAAATGAGGGTGTAACCTACATCCTGTATGATGTTCTGCGCACAGAGATCAAAGCCCCAGAGCCCAATCCGACTCAGCGCAACACCAACCGCAAGCCCCGTGGCCGAGAAGATGCTATTCGTGCCCTTGCCCTCAAAGTCAGAGAAGTACCATGCCAGCACTCCAGCAAGGCACGTCAATCTGCCAGGCGAGGCTCCATATGCCAGCCCGCACGACGCCGATCTTCTTCATCAAGTAGGGTGCGGCCCACGTCGCGCTGATCTCGAAGACGCTGCCAACCCTGGCGATACCCATGTGCAAAGGCGTGTACCCGACTGAAGCCAAGTAGGTGATCATCTGACCCGAGAAGGAGAGGACTGTGAAGTAAAGCAGGGACAGCGCGAACGAGGCGAGGAACGCCGGGTGGCTGAAATAAAACGGGAGCGCCTCGATGGGCAGGACGCCGCTGATGGTGTTGAGCACCTTGGGCCCGACAGACCGGAGACGGCTTCTGCCGTGGGCCTCTGCGCCTCGGTTCGAAGCCACCGAGTCCCTGCGGTCCGAAGATGGAGCCGCCTCGGAAGTTCGCTGCAAGCCGGAGACGCGCCTGTACACCTGCTCGATGGCGACGTACTCGACAATGACTGAGGCCGCGTTCATGCCAAGGGTCGTCCAGATGGCGATCTCCGTGGAGGCGATGGCCACCAGGGACACGGTCAATGGTCCCACAAGCTTGCAGAAGAGGTCAATCCGTCGCATGCGAGCGTTCATTGCTGTTAAGGTATTAATATCACGCTTGACCACACTCTGGGCTCACAAGTGGCGAGGAGGACTCACTGCGACGGGCCATCTCATTGTTCTCGGTGATAACAACGACCTTTGTAACTCAGGTCAGTACGAAATAAAAACGGAACACGTGCATGATACATTGAGACGCCACATACCCAGTCCCTCTCAACTGAGATCAGGTTCATGGTCGCGGAGAGCTTCTCCACCACACTCAGGAACACAATCACGGCAAACACGCCAGCATTCTTCCTGGACCCAAGCTCATCCTTCTTCAACAACAGCACCAAGAGCAAGGCGCAACTCGCCGCAACAGGGACCCGTTGGCCAATGATGCTGGCCCGGATGAGGTTGAGACGGTTCCCCTTGTTGATCCAGTTCCCCACCGGCTGCGCAAAGATGATGTATCCCGCGTTCCGGACGAGGGAGTAGATCGAGACCGGGAGGAGGGTGCCCGGATAGATAAAGGTCAAGAAGAGGGCGGCGCCGAACTCGAACAGGCGTGAGTTCCACGTCGACAGGAAGTGTGACACGTACAGCCTCAGCGCCAGGGACCGGGGCACGCGGTTGGGGATGACGGCGGGGTCGTTATCATCGTCACCTTCGTTTAGGAGGTGATGGCCAGGTGTGGCATTGACTGCTGCGATGTTGCTGGTCTTCGGCGCGGCGATTGGACCTTGTGCACCTTCAGGGCCGGGTGTAGCCTCGGCGGCATCCGTAGTGTCCGGCCTTCTGGCGGTGGACGCCGAACCAGTGGACGTTGGGACTCGGTTGATTTCCAGGCTGCCTTTGCCGGCCCCAACTTGGTCTTCAGTCATGCTGGGCGAATGTGTCACCGATGCATGCCCAGGAGATGAGATTTGCACAAGTCGTTGGTTGCAGCGATTTTTCTGATGGTGAAAATGGCAGAAAAGTCGAAAGTTGCAGGCCCGCCGATGATCGGTGAATGGGCAGCTCCAGAATGAGGTGACTCGGCATCTTGCAGTCCCGGCTCCTCGCTTTCGGATCCGCTCCGTCTCCCGCGCCTGGGCGTCGTCATCTCTTGCCTTCCCAAGCCTGCTTCGGCTGCAGACTCCACTTGTTCTCAACAAGGGTTATTTAGCACGATCTGATAACTTTATTCAGCCACAAATCGATCCGAACCCAGAGCTTGTCAAGTTCGAGCTTGCGATGCGCGGATGCAGCCTGTCGAATCACAAGGCAAGACTGAACCAGGGGACTAGGAAAGTCAATCGGACATGAGTTGCTCCACCCTGTACTGCCGACTGTGTGAGAACATTCGCGTGACGCCGGAACGGACAAACATTCATTGAATGGACGTTGCTTCGGTGCTTCCACCTGATTGGAGCACGCACACGGCAAAAGCACACGGGCGCCTGAAACGCCTGCGAGAAAAAGGATGCCGTATCTACATGTGAATATTTCATTTCGTATCACTGAAATGATCTACCTCTCATTGCCGTTGAGTATCGCCTGTAACAGTCACAGACCCGGCGTCGGCTTGCCTCATGCGTCGAGTCTTTTTCTCCTCATTCAACCACTCGCTACCACAGGAATTGGGCTGGTAGCCAATCACATGTTAGAATCAGGCGGAAACAAGGTTGTCGATGGAGCCTTGGATCCTGCCCCAGCCGCTTAGCTGCAGCCTGCCATGCTCAAAGTTCGGCCGTCTTACCCCGGAGATCCCAGCCCGACGCCGATGCTACTCAGGGGAAACCCCGAGAATGTACACCCGCTTAATCGATTTGCCGATGCAGACAACACGGTAACCTCCTGGGTATCGTGTGTCACGTACACGGGGAGTGCCCAAGAGGTGTATGGTATTTCCGCACAATGCAGGAGCTCGTGTTGACGGACCGAAAAGGCCGATAATTTAACCAACGCATGTCAGTCAACGGGTCAACTTCATACCACATGTATAAAGATGGGTTTTCGCATGATGATACTCTCGTCAAAATCGTCTCTGGTTGACATCCATCTCAGCAGAACAACACCTCAGCCTCGAATCGTCATTTCCTTTTCCCGACAAGGTCAATATCAGCTGCATCACCCCGAGAATGGCTCGATTAAAAGTCCTAATTTGTGGCGGCGGCATCGCCGGCAACGCCCTCGGCTTCTGGCTCACCAAATCGAACCACGACGTCACGGTCGTGGAGCGGTACCCAGACCTGCGGGTGACGGGGCTGCAGCTCGACCTGCGCGGGCCCGGCATCGAGGTTCTGAAGCGCATGGGGCTCGACGAAGGGTTCCGCGCGCACGCTGCGAAGGAGGAGGGCACGCGGGTGGTCTCAAGCTCTGGGAGGGAACTGGCGTACTTCCCGGCGAACAAGAGCGGACAGGGCGCCCAGAGCATCACCTCGGACTACGAGATCATGCGTGGTGATCTTACCAGACTGCTATACGGTACTTCGAAGGCTAAGGTGTTGTTTGGGACATCCATCGAGAGCTACGAAGACAAGCGCGATTGCGTTGAGGTTGTGTTCTCAGATGGCAAGACTGAGCAATTTGATCTGTACGTATGAGTGTCCCGTTACTGAGCGCTTCACAGCATCGAACTTGATCGGAACTGTCATAAATACTGACGCACTTTCTAGACTCGTCGGCGCGGATGGCCAATGGTCACGCACCCGAAACATGATGATCGGAAAGGACACCCCAGACCCGATGCACTTCCTCCGCGACAACGTCTACATCGGCTACTATACCATACCCAAGGAGATGGAACCGGGCGACAACTACGACGCCAACGTCTTCCTAGCGACAGGGGGCCGGATGATCTTCTGCCGGAGGAGCGACCCGCACAAGATCCAGGCATACTTCGAAGTGATGAAGGGAGGCGCCACGGAGCGGCTGGCCCAGGCGCACAGGGGCGGCGTCGCGGGCGAGAAGGCAGCCCTGGCCGAGATATTCCGCGGCGCCGGCTGGAGGACGGAGGAGTTCCTCAGGGGGCTCGAGGAGGCGGACGACTTCTACATGGAGCGCCTCGCGGTCGTCAAGCTCGACTCGTGGTCCAAGGGCCGCGTGGTCCTCGTCGGGGACGCCGCGCACTGTCCGACGGCGGCCACTGGCATGGGCACGACTTCCGCTATGGTCGGGACCTACATACTGGCCGGCGAGATCGAGAAGCACTGCGGGGCGTCCGGGGGCAAGGAGGGCCTCGCTGTCGCGCTCGAGGAGTACGACCAAAAGCTGCGGCCTTTTATCACCCGGGTCCAAAAGGGGGTTGTGGAGGGCTCCAGGGTCTTCGATCTTGTGCCTACGTCGTGGGTAGGGACTGCCTTTCTCCATGTGATTCTGAGACTGGTCATGCTTCTGAGGTTGATGTCCATTGTGGGCTGGTTTTTCCAGGAGGACGGTGGGGATGAGTGGCGGCTCCCGGAATACGATGAGATGCTTGGCAAGGCGTAGGAGAGGGGATTCTTACTTTCTCTATGGACGTATATTCTGGGACGCACATACTCAACTCAGCTTATGCACATCATTCCATTCCTTCCCGAAACCCTCAGTACGTGATACGAAGAATCATTGTCGATGCCAGTCTGTCCCATTTCGTGCATCACACTCAAACAAATCCACATACTCTGGACAGAACGAATCGAGCGGTTTCATACTAGTTCAAGGGTATACAAGGAATGTATTCTATTTTTAACTACTCAGGTATGCAAACAACCCCATGTCCTCCTTTCAATCCCCTCATTCACACCGTTCTCGATACTGATCGCTTGACCATCCAGACTTTGAATCATGTTAGAAATATGCTCTATCACCACTATGGCTAAACTGAGTACTCACTGACAAGGCCGAGTGTGCTTCGCATTTAAGAGACACAGACGCTGCCTTTGGTGTAGCAAGTAAGGCCACCGCAGCAGTCTGCCTCCGAGTTGCAGTGGTCGAACTCATTACCGCATTGCTGTATGTCTAATCTTAGCTTTGAACGCACTTGCATGTCGTTGATGGTGAAGTCAAGGGATGTACTCACGGCAGCTCGCTCCTCGACGGTGTTGACATCAGGGTTGGGCAGGGCCACGGCTGTGCCGAGAAGGGCAATGGCGATGGTGGTCAGGGAGAAACGCATCTTGGCTGAAGTGTTCGTTGGGTGTTGTGTGAATGGATGAGATTGGATGTCTTTTTTGGCGTGTCTTGGGTCTGATTCTGTCAGGAACTTCGAAGGGACATTTCATGCCTTATATACTCTTCGCCGTAATCCATGCGTTGACCTTGGTTCGGACTTGTCGGTCGCCTTCTGATACGAGCGCAACCTCAACACTCCACACGTCGTCGCTCACTCAGCTCTTGTGCATCACAGGCACCTGCATGGTGTCCTGAATCATCAGCCCCGGCCAAGCCTTTGTGAAAGCTTATTTGGTGTTGGTCAACTGCGGCGACTGGGTAGGATTGTTATCCTGGTTATGGTGGCCAAACTGGCAACTTTTCCAAGTGGAGACTTCGTCGTGTGGGTCGAGAATCCATCTGCTGCAAGTGGTAAGCTGACAGGTGGAACATCTGTCCGCTTCATGGTGTTTATAGCTTCAAGTTGTTTGTGTCAGTTCAAGCAGGCAACGCTGTGATTGAGGAGCATAGAATCCTTCAGTGACGTGGGCAGTGCATTGTGGGGCTGGATGTACCGGTTCATCCATTCATCCTCTCGGCAGTCGGTGCAACTACGAGTTGGGAGGATCCAGCATGTGCCCCTTCTCGGATTTGATACTACGTGAGATACCCGTTTCAGAGATATTATTCAGGGATTTATCAAGTGGTCGCTAACACGTTTCTGATACCTTGAGGCTCTCAAATCTAACACAAAACTGCGTGTGACATTTCACAAGACCTTCCTCTGTGGACAGATCTGCACGGAGCATTGCCTGCTCTCTCTCTACACTTTCAGCTGGTCTATACTCATGAATCAAAGTCTTCGCGGAACGATTACACCACTTTGCGTTTCCTCGGGTGCCGGATTGACGATCATTTGTCACAGCGGGGCATCGTAAGACACGGAGGAAGATCACCGCCCAGCTGGTGAAAATCGGGGTCCTGTGGGTTCCTGTCGTGTGTCCATCCGCCGCTTCGGACATCGTCTCCGAAGCTACGGTACTCAGCCTTCTTTGCGTACACCGTTGTGGAGCCTATTGAGAGGACCAATCGACGTTTCTAGTGAATTCAGCACGGATCTCAGGTCTCGTGCAAGATCAGCACAGCTTTCATTTTTCCAAACTCGGGTGCGCGGAGATGGGGCTGGCTGGAAGATGGCGAGGAAGTGAAGCATTCTGCATACCGATCCGCGCAGGTTGAGGGACATGATATTTGCAATTACAGACTGATAGCCAGAGAGATATTCAATAGCTGGTATGATTATATATAATCTCTTTAAATAGTTTGGACAAAGAAATGTGCTTTATCCAGAGATAATTCGTCCAACTGTCGCAGCATCCCCACGTATACACACATAAGCAGGCACAGCACAAGGCACACCAGGCCCGACATGAACACGTCTAGGAGTACATATGGATAGCTGCCACTGCTCAGATAGCTTCACCAGCCCGGCCGCCGTGAGAACTCTTCGTTCGCCTCATCACTCACGTTTTTCTTGACGCTGTGGAATGACAGCTTCATGATCCAGGTCAGGGGTATCCCGAGGATGCCTCTGTATCTGTCAAGCTCTGGCGGCCTGCTAAATCGTGATGCCGTGATCACCTCGGGTAGAATGATGAAGGACAGAGACGCACTGCCCGGGACGCGCGACTAGGAGACCGCAGCCGGACTCAAGTGACTTGAAGTCGGGCGTGCAAAAAGGACCCTTTCTCGCTGCCGAATATACAGATGGTGCCGAGATGCTCAAGCGGTCCATCCATCAGCGTCTTTCCAACTGCCATTCAGTATACATATTGTAGTCGGTTGCCCAATCGTCTACGTAGATGTAGTTTGACCGATTCAAGCAAGACGTAGGCTCCTCAGGGGATAGCGAGACGCTGAACATGTCCACACACTCCCCAGCCATAATCGCTCCTTGCTAGGGTTACAACGCGGCAGCACGCCTGCTACACTACAGCATGGTTGTGGTGTCCTACCGGAACAACAGAGCTGCAAGGCTGAATCATCAGTAGGATAATCTTACAGGCTCGTACATTTTTAGGCGATTAGAACGATTGTGGGTAGTTTGAGATGGTATGATGAGGGTTTCGGGAAGTTAATGCGGAGTGTGTTGCAGCCTTTTCAAGATCACCCAGACTTGAGCCAGTTGGCTGTACAAATCTATCACCACACTGGCCCTAATGACGGAGATTCGTCTTGCAAAGGAATCATTTATCTCTGTTTCCGCAATCAAAATTTCATTAGAATCTATCCCACACAGATATTGTCTAAATAATGACGGGCGACTGATCATGTTGGATCTGAGGGTTTTCCTTACCGTTTGCAATGTTTATTTAGGTGCATTGGAAAGCATCCTTGTCCAGACTCATGTTTACTGTTAGTTGTTTCCATTATCCCCTTGACGAGGTTTCGATAAACTCCAGAGCCCATCTAGGAACACGTGTGTACTGTGAATAGGCCACCTTGGACTGGAGGACTGGTACTCATCGTCTTCATTTAAGCTTGTGAATGCTGTTTGTTGGAACATGCAAAAGTCCACAGCAGTCATCCACCACCCGTAACACTGCACCATTCAATGTGTACAGTACTAAGTTGTTTGCAAAATAGGGGCCACACCCTTTCTAAAGAATTACTTAAGAAATTTTCGATCAGTGTAATCTCTTCGATCTCTTTCCTTCTTTTCATCCTCTGCACAGCTCACTGTGGACCGCAATAACAAATACCACACTTTGTCCTCCACATACACGACACCCTTTTTCGGCAGGGAGACTTGGAACTCGCCCCCTGGACACACAAACGCCCACCATGAGGGTAAGCTTATCTCCATTTCAGGGCTACAAGAAGCCACATTTCGTACTGATTCGAAATACTACAGACCTTCTCTATGCTTGTGGGCATCTTGCTCGCCTTTTTAGGCGTGGCATCTGCGATTCCCACCGGAACCGCAACTACGCTGGAGGGCGCAACCCGTGCCAGTCTTGGTCCACGTCGGAACGGCTACAGTGACCTGCCTTCTCACGTCTCAACATACAACTGGGGCCAGCCGTACAATGCCATCCCCGACTACGTCATGGCCAACGATCCTGAGACCGGTGAAGACGCCATCATCTACACCCAAGAGGAGATCTACACTGCCATGCAGGTGGGTGCTATCCACAAATTTGAACAGTTTGTTGATGGAGCTAATCATGTATCTCATGGGGTTATAGCAAGGCTATGAGGTTCTACAACGTACCCGTGATCCGAGTCCTGGCGAGTTTGTCACGTACGGAAAGTATGTTGCCAAAGATTCGTTTATGGATTTTCGACTTAGTGCTAACAAATCTAGTATCCAGTATCCTTCCTACCTTGACTTCGGTGATGATAACCTCGATGGCACTCACTGGGGTCGATTTGGTGATTATCACAACTTTGACTTGTACGCATGGCCGCTACTGTGGACAAACTCATACACAGGCAAGTGCAAGCACTCCAGCCCGTTCTATCATGTCAATTCGGCGGCAAAACAGGACACCGTTGTGCTGACAGAATCTAGGATTCAACCAAAACCCTGGACAGGATCGTGTAGTGTTTACTGAACACGGTGTCTACCTTGGAGTCATCACCCGGCGCCCGAGTGATGCCTCACCAGATGGAGGTTACCGATGGTGCCCCCCAACAAATGGGTATGGCCAATGGATCGCCCGGTTCATTGGAGGCACTCGGGGTTGGGACTGGACCGGAGTGCCACCTGACGGAGCAAATAGCTATACTTCGCCCTCAAGGTGGAACATCGCTGCCAGCCAGCGCAAGATCTGGTGAGTACAGACCAATGCTGGGGACGCTGGAAATTTCCCTACTTTACTTTTTACGTGCCTCGATACTGACCCAGCAATCTCAGGATGGATTTGAACCCAGGCGGCATGCTACCCATAGGGAGCATCGGCGCTCAAGTCAACTCGTCCAACCCACCACCAGTCGACATGACGCCCCCGAGCGCTCCATTCGACGATGACAACCCTCTACAGTTTCCTCCCTGGGATAACTCAACCGGAGTCTGGCGGACCTACGTCCCGAGCAACACCACTATGAACCTCACTCACGAATTTGAGGCAGCCGACTGCGCCTTCGCTCGCGATCACGGAGCCGGCGGCTACCACCAGAGCTGTCAGACTAATTGGGGCGGGGGAAATAGCATGCAAGTCCGGGTCACTGTCTCCGGCACGGGGTATGTACACCAAGATGTTCCGGGCCCTTCGCCTTGGCAAGACTGCTAACAAAGAAAACAGCCAGAACACCAAGGGCTGGTGCCAGGGTATAATTGACAACATGATCAAGAACGTAAGTCCCATCCAAAATGATTCCAACCAGCCGTGCTGCAACAAGCGACTAACCAGCCTTCGGGTATAAATTCAGTGCGGTGGCAACTTCAACCTCCTCAACGGCGTGTACACCTGCAACCGAAACTACCCGGCCACGGCAACGTTCTCCAAGGCGACGGACCCGAGCGACCCTGGTTACGGCAGGTACTTCTACGGTGTTGACCTGCACTTTTATATGCAGTGGCCGTGGGTCGAGTCCGACGCCGACCACAAGTGTATGGCTAGTGCAGTGGAGCAGGGCAGCTGTGGGCGGTCGAACGTCAAGTCCCTGAACGGCAAGTGGTGCCGTAATGTCCACTGGAAGCCCAGCCCCCCTCCGCTGGAGTGGAGCAGCGACATGGGCCCTGCCTAGGGCATACGATAGGGCTGGAGAAGACTTGCAGTTGCATGAGTGTAGCCTACTTGGGCTCTAGATTTCGATGAATGTCAACATAGCGGCATACATGAAAGATCTCGAATCCCCAATGTGATGTGAATACGGAACATTGGACGCATCAAGCCCACTTCAACGCTGTTTTGCAATTTCTACTAGATATGCCTCGAACATTTGCTCGGCCATGCCCCCCAAAACCCCGCGGTCATGACGCAAAGCAGCTCTGTTGGGGCTATTCAGATACCGGAAAATTCCAGGGGGGGCTGTAGATGAGATTGACGTCAAGCACTTCAGCTCGGCGCCTGATAGGTAGTCTGGACCGCCAGCTCCCAGCCCCCTTTCCCACACTTTCGACCTGTACATCCAGGCTTATCTAACAACACGTTGGGCAATAGTGCTTCACCACCCTGTTTTAAAACATTCGTCAAAATACGCCAGCACCATGAGCGACTCAGAAGCCAAGAACAAAGATATCATTGACGACCACGACCCGGCGGAAGAAGAAGAATTCGTCCCAGAAGATGCGGAGGCTGGTGCTAGCGACGAAGCTCCAGAGCCTGATCCGGAGGACGTCAAGGAGGTCCTAGAAGACAACGAGGTCAACGACGAAGAACCCGCTGAAGAAGACGAGGACCAACAAGCCGAGGTCGACGAGGTCTATGATTCCGGCGGTGACTACGATGAAGACATCGAGAGCGAGGTCTCAGTCGAGGATGACGATGAGGCTGACAAGGAAGAGCCGCGAGGCACGAAACGCGATAACGAGGACGAGCAGCCGTCGTCGTCCAACAAGAAGCAGAAGGGATCGAATGGCGCCAGTAGCGCGGCCGAGACGCCGGAAGCCAACGGCGCCGAGGCCGAGGGAAAGGTCGGATCGAAGCACGACGACCCGCGGGATCCCGAGACGCAGGGATCAGCGGGAAGGCTGCCGGAGGTGGGTCAGCAAGTCGAATGGAAAGCTCTGCCAGGCTTTGTGGACGGCGAGGTCGTTGAGATTCTCCGCGAGGAAAAGGACGTGGAAGGGAAGACCATCAAAGCGAGCGAGGACGATCCACGGCTGGTGTTGAAGAGCAACAAGTCTGGGAAAATATGTGTGCACAAGCCTGAGGCCGTGTATTTCAAGTAATTTGTTCCAAATGCATACATACTTTCTTCCAAATTCCGGATGACCTCTTGGAATGAGTTGTGTGTCCTTTGGCAAGTTGAAATGCCTCCAGTTCTCCTTGTCCGACGGGTAACGAGACAGGACATGTGCAGCCTCACGCTTATCACTAGAGCGACAGTCGTTAATATAACTGTTAGGCATTGGTTTCTTTCGTGCTTAAATATTATCCGTCTTGGACATGATCATCTGGGATCTACCACGCTCATAGTGATGAAGCATACGAAACAGTGGTAGTAGCCTTAAAACATAATTGAATGTTAAGATGGATTTGCATCCCCAAGATATCATAATTTGAAAGAATGGGTTTTTGAAAACCCTGGACTTCAGCCAGTATGCTCAAGACATTATGCTCACGTCTCACATTTATGGTGCCCTTTGAGAGACAGGAATATGCGACGTTTCATGTGTCCAACACAGAAAGAGCCTGAGAGGAGAAACGCAGACCGCATTTTTCTAATAGGTGCTTTCATGTCCGGAGAACTGGAATGACTCAGGATTCATGTCTTCTGGTATTTGTAAGTAGCTCGAGTGGTCTCGTTTTTAATCTGTACACATATGCTTCTTAAGCAATATGCATGCAGTCCCTTCACAGAGTGATAAACGTTTAAACACCCAGCGTTAAAAAAAAAAAAAAAAAAGTAGCTTGAAAGCGCTTCAAAACTAAGAATCGAGACACTGGATCCCCAATTATCAACTACATTTCATGATGTCGCCGTACCGACAACGTTCATGAGAACCCCTGAAATCATTTAACAAGCGAAGCATAAACAAGCCGACATGAAGCTGACAATTGGTATCATATTGGCCGTTTCTTTCGCCGCGACTCAATTCGATAAGCAGTCTGCCCTTGAACGATGCCTACAAGCATGCACAAGAGCATTTCTTTCGTGTTTCTACCGCCGCCACCTCACTGAGGAGCCCGGCCATTCGGATGTCGTAACCTACCATGACGACGACATCAGTTGCAACCTTGGCTGCCACGGGGTCTCTCGAAGCAAATTTCAGGAGGACATGTCTGGGAGCTTGCTGGGGATCGACCCACCCCAGTAATAGGTTTTTGGATTGGTGATAGACCAGTTCTTTTAATGCTTATAAAGTATGCCCTTGTCGAGGACTTTTGACGAGGTCGTAAAATTCAGCGAATTATAGTCTAGGAACTCCGCTTCTCCCCACGTCACATCGCCACATCTCTAGGCCGAATGGGACTCCATGGGACTCCCTGACCCAACTGGTGCTAAATCGCGAGGGGCATCTTGAACTCATCGCTAAGCACACCAGAAAGGTGAAGTAAGGAACACTTGTATAGGATTGTGATTGAATGGCGCAAGCAACCACCGATCCGGGCTATTTAGCAAAGCCACCAGGGGACTGCTGCATTACGGGAAGCTTGCACGACGGCGAGCCACGCGGGACATACGAGACGGTCGAGGGGATAGAGACCTACGTTGTCCATCCACCTGACGGACGTTCCAATGGAAATATCGTGCTGTACTTCCCAGACGTCTGGGGCTTTTTCAACAATGGACTCCTTGTCATGGACGGCTTCGCAGACGCTGGATATCTAACCATTGGTCTTGATTACTTCAGAGGCGATCCAGTAGGGAAGCACCGCAAGGACCGACACGATACGACCACGGAGCCGGACTTCGACTATGAGGCTTGGAAGAAGAAGCATCAAGACTTTGCCGCTGAGGCTGTGCCGGGATGGGTGGACGCAGTGAAGGCCAAATATGGCTCGTCAGGGACGAAATACGGATGCGTCGGGTGAGGATATCTACTTGTTCGTTTTTTGCCGCAATGATGACTGACTGTATAGGTACTGCTTCGGCGCGCCGTACGTCTGTGACCAGCTCGCTGAGGGTGGTATCTGCTCCGCCGGAGCCTTCGCTCACCCGGCCTTCCTCAAGGAGCACCACTTCCGAAATCTCAAGAGTAAGAGTCTTTTTACCCAATGCCCATGAGACCATACTGACAACTTGGGAAAAGATCCACTGTTTCTCTCTTGTTCGGTGGTTGACCATACGTTCGACGCCCAATCTCGGCGACGGGCGCTCGACATGCTGGTTGAAGACAAGAAGACATATCATTTGCAGCTCTTCTCTGGGGTTGAACACGGGTTCGCCTTGCGCGGGAACCAGAATGACTCTTATGAGCGTAAGTCGCCCCGTAATTAAATCTTTGTAGACTCTCTCAGGTGAGAACTCATCTGAATAATGGTCTCGCAGGGTGGGTGAAAGAACAGAGTCTTCGGGGAATTATAGATTGGTTCAACTTTTGGCTCGCTCGTCAATTGTCTTCCATCAGATAGGGAGTATACTTCTATGGATCTTGATAGATAGTAAATACGTTCTTTACTCTAACGAAGGCATCAGTAGTAGGACGTTAATTATTTGCAGAATGCGTCTTGATATTAATACATGCCGGATACCCTGTTCCCTACTGGGCTTTATAATTACTTGTATCGCCAATGCAAACAGCGTTCCAAAACAGGGGTCCAGCCCGATGTTGTTCAATGCCTCGACAAGGATGTTGAATGCTCTATCGAATAGTAATTTCCGCTTCTGGTTGGCTCGTGAACATCTCCCTATCACCTGCATAATCGAACACCCCAACTCTGTAATAGATCAAGACTCCAGATTTAGTATCATTGTCTAGTGTAAGGATGAGACCCGAAGTATATTTATACTTTTCTGGTGTGAACTGAATCACGTCTATCGCAAAGAGACAAAGTTGACGTTGAAATTTACTTTCCTCTTCGACATCGTTTTTGGGCACCCAATCCAGGCAAGAGCTAGTGTCGCCCGAGCTGCTAGATACCTCCCACTTGTCTGGCCACCTGCCTTCGGGTTCCACAACGAGACGGCCGCTGCTTGGCTCCACTGGTGTCTGCAAAACCTTTCCAGAGAGCGTTATCATCAACCCAAATGCTACCGATACCATGGCACTTTTGTTAGAAGCTCGCAAGTCCGATTTGATAACTTGGAACATAACCCGTTCCACATCGAGAGCGTGAGGACAGCGAACACCCCCATTTCAAAACGCCCAGCTCCAGGATGGGGCAATATATCGTCCCCAGTCGTATAAAAGCGCAGGCAATTCAGTATATAACAATGCTGATTCTTTGCATATCCAACGGAGCTGCGTATAAAGGTCATTATGTTGCCATAGCCCCGCAAGATATTTTATTAGATTTTCTTGCGTTTAGTACGAGCATTGAATAAACTTAACCACACCGGCTATTCCTTTAAGTCTATCCAAGGCGTGTATAAGCGCCCTCAACAAGTAAGCCTCAACAAATTTCAACCAATAAAACTTTTGTCAATACTTAGGCATAAGCACATTAAACTCCCACCATCCATCCTTAAGGAAAGTTCCCTAGCCGCACCAAAACTACACGGTTTTGTTGCTAAATACAACTTATCATATAAACATCATCTCCTCTTGCCACACCCAACCACAAGACACCCATGCTGTCTTTATGGTATCTTTATTTACAAGTTTAACATATCGTAGTTCAAGTCGTATAGAGTATGAGCCCTAGATATTAAGCTTTAGTGTGGAGTAAAAGTTAAGAGTTAACATTTCCTTAGCAAGCCTTGAAAGGAAATGCTTACCAAACGAAAAGCATTTAGCCATACTAATAGTAACTCTTAAGTAAGCAAAAATATTGCACATTATAATAGCTTTAACCTTTTAATTATCTTTATTATCTTATATAATTCATGAAGCATTAATTTAAAAATATCTCATTCCAAGCTTCTTAATAACATAAATTGCATCCTAAAAGGTTACCAGCATATTTTACACCTATATACCCATAATTTCATACTTAAATTTATTTGTTATTGTGGGAATAATGGGTGTTGTTTGTATAGAGGACTGTTTGGGATTAGGCAGCTTTAGCTTGTTAAGATGCTTAGCAGGCAGCAGCCTTAGCATTGCATATAAAATAATTAGCATAGTTAAGCCTTTTACCTTCCTTTTTTTTATAATTAACAATAATTAACTATTATATTAACTAAATATTATATTATAATATATAATTAGCTAATATTAATTAATAATTGCAAGGGTAATTATAAATTAGCAAGGCTTAAAGAAATAATCTTTTAATTATGCTAATTAATATTATTAACGTTATAAATTTATATAACGCAATTTATAATAATAATAATATTTAATATATAAAGAGGTAGTTATTATAATAAAAAACTATAATAAACTCCCTTACTTTTAATATATGCATGTTTATTACGCCTTAAATAATCTTAATAATAACTTTTAAATTTAATAATTATAATTAAAAGAACTAAATTAATATTTATTTTTATTAATAATATATTAAAAACGAGCTACCTAAATAATAGGGGATAGGTTTTGCTAAACCCTCTTAAGGATAACTTAAGGAAGAGCTTTAATGTAATAAAAAGGGAAGATAAAAATAAAAGGGAATTAAAAAAAGGAAAAAGATAAATATTTTAAAAATTCTTAAAAATAAAAAAAGCTTAATTAAAGCATTAAATATATAAAAAAAGAAAAAAGTTAATTTCTTAAAAAAATATTTAAAATAAGTATAAAAGCTAGCTTTTTATAATTAGCTAAAATTTAGCGTAATATTATTTTTTATATAATTCCTTATACTTATTAATATACCCTTTTTTAAGTATTTTATAATAAATATTATAAAAACTATTAAAATAAAACTTTGCTATTTTTAATTAAGCCTTTAAATTTTAAAATTTACCTTATTATAATCCTAATTATTATTATTATTTTTAATCCCTTGCTTACTTATTTTATTATAGCTTTTACTTTTTTATAAAAGCTTTAAATATTTTTAAGATTTACTTAGCAATATATTTATTAATTATATTCTCTTAATTATTAAAGTTTGCTTTAATAGCTAGCATTAATATAGCTATTAAAAATTTAAATATCTTTATAAAATAAAAAGTAAATTTATTCTTTTTTTAATTATTATATTAAGCATAATATATTAGCTTTGCTAACTTTTACTTTTACTTTTTATAAAGCTTTTACTTTGCTTTTGCTTTTTATAAAGCTTTTACTTTGCTTTTGCTTTTTATAATGCTTTTACTTTTAATATTTATATCTTATATTTAATTACTTAATTAGCTTATTTATAAGCCTTTTAAATTATTCCTAAATAAATTTTATTATTATTTTAATTATTTTAAGTTAATTAATATACTTTAAGTTTTATTTATATTTATTATTAAAATAAGTAAATAAAAAAGATCTTTATATATGCTAAAATAAGCATTCTTTGTTAGCTTTAAAATATTTTATAGCATAATACTTAAATTAAAGGCTTATTTAATTAAAGTTATGCTTAATTAATTTTAAGTTATTTAAAAGTTTATACCTTATTATATATTAAATATTTAAAATTAAATTATTAAATTAATTTATATTAAAGGTATTATTTCCTTTATACTCTTCTTATAATTAATAATAATCTTAGCATATTATAATTTAAATAGCTGCTATTAAATAATATCTCTTTATAATAAAAGCTTACTTCTTGCTTTAATTACTTTTATATTATTAATCTTAATAAAAAGAATTAATATAAGTATTTAAATAACTTTATTAATTTTATTAAGCTTTAATTAAATAATAAATATTTAAATAATAATATTAATAATAGCTTTAAGCATCTTATAATATATAATTTTAATTAAAAAAGCCTTAGCTTAATCCTATACTTTTTAATTATTCTTTTCTTAATTCTTTTTAAAGTAGTTTTTAATAAACTTAATAATATGCTATTTATAAAATACTTTATTAATTTATCTTAATTTTAATGCAAACTTTTTATTAAAATCTTATATTTTATTTTTTAAAGCAGCTATTAAATATTTATAAATAAACGCTTTAGCATTTTTATTTATTTTACTTTTCTTATTTTTTAATATAAGATTATTTTATAATAAATAATAATTTTTTATTTTATTAAAAATTGCTATTATTTAATAATTAAGTATATAAATAAGCATAATAATAAATTTATAATTCTTTATTAATTTATATTATTAATATTTCTTAAGTAAGGTATAATTATAATGCAAAAGTTATAAAACATCCCTTTTATATTAAAAAAATTAAAAGTAAAAAAGGCTTAATATTATTTTATTAAATTTATTAATTTAATTAATTTTCTTAGCTTAAAGTAAAAATTAATACTTAAGAAATATTTTTATATTATTTTTATAAGCTTATTATTAAATATTATTTATTTTATATTAAAGAATAATAATTAATTAAGAATTTAAAATTATTAAATATTATTTAAGAAAACTTTATTTATAATAATTCTTATTTTAAAGGAATTTTTAAAAAAGTTAATACTTACTTTTTAAGTAAAGTTTTATTAATTTTAAATATTTATAATATTTAAAAATTATAATGCTTTATTAAGTAGGTTTTTAAAGTTATTAAAGTAAGAAAGTTTTATAATTATTAATGCTAAATTATTCTTTCTTAAATTAATAAGCTTAATTATTAAAATTAAGGCATTAAAGTCTTAAAATATCTTATAATATAAAAATAATTAAAATCGCTTTTTTACCTTATCTTTTTAATTAAAAAATATCTTAGCTTTTAATTATAAAGAAAAAAAGTAAAGAAAATAAATAATAAAGTAAAGAGTAAATAATAAAAGTTAAGTAATAAAAAGAAAAGATATAATAATAAAAAGAGCTTTATATCTTTAAGAATTATTATATAAATAATTAAGGTAAAAAGGGTTAAAAATAAAAAAAAAGATATAATTAATATTTAATTATAATTTAAAGTAGCTTTTATAAATAATTATTACTTATTTTTAAATAAGAATTAAGTAAGAAAAAAGATTAATATATTAAAAATATATTATTATTAAAATAACTAAGTAATAACTAATCTTTAACTTTTAATTAATAATAATATAAAAATAAAAAGAAGAAGAAGAAAAGAAAAAAAGGAAAAGGGCTTAGCTATAAATAAATAAATATAGCAATATATATAGGTTAAAGTAATAAAAGTTAATAACTTACTATTCTTAAGTTAAATAATTATATTAATTAAAAGAAAAAAGTAATAAAAAGGCTTATAAGTTATTATTAAAAGCCATTAATTTATTATTTTGCTAATAATTAAAATAAAAAGGTATATAATCTTTTATTTTTCTTAAATAATAGCTAATTATAAAATACTTTCCTTTTAATTTATAAGTTTATTAAATATAAATTAAAATAAGTTACTTAATTAAAATTCCTTTATAATAAAAAGATAAATAACTTTTTTATAAGTAAAAAATTAAAGGTAAATAACTTCTTTTTAATAATAAATTAATCTTAATTAAAAGTAAAATAATAAATTATTTTTTTTAATAATAAGGTAATTTATTATTAATATTGCTTACCTTTTCTTATTATAGCAACTTTATATATATAAATTTCTTTTTTTCCCTTAAATTTCTTCTTTTTCCTTTCTTTTTTTAATATTTTTTTAATTTTAATTAGCCTTTAAATTAAGCTAAAATTAAAGCAAAATATCATAATCTTCTTATCCTTTAATATCTTTTTATAATAATATCTTTATTATTAAACTCTTCTTAATTAAAATTAAGGAGTTTAATATAAAAGGATTTCCCTTTTCCTTTTTAAGCTATTTATTATAACTTATAAGCTAAGCAAGTCTTAATTAAAAGCATTTATATATCTTTTAAGCTAAAAGGCATTCTTAATAAAAATTAATTTATTAAAACTATTCTTTATAATACTTTTATAAAAGATATTTATATATATAAAATTATTAATATTAAATAAAATTAATACTTTGCTTAGCAATTTATTAATCTTACCTTTAAAAAGATAATTAAGGAATTATTTAATAGGTTTTTTAATAAGCCTTAAAAAGAATGGTTTTTAAATAATATTAAGAATTTAATTAAAAGCTATATAAATATTATTATTATTAAAAAAAGTAATAAAGCTCCTTATAAAAAGTATATAATAATAATATATAATTACTTTAATTATTATTATTAAGTAGCTTTATTTATAGCTTTTTATAACTATTAAAATGCTTTTTCTTATAAATATTGCTTAAAGTATATAAATTGCAATTTTTCCTTAATTATAAATAAGAATGTTTTTATTATAATTTCCTTTTTTAATTACCACTCCTTATATAATTTTTATAATAATATTTATATTAATTATATTTATTATATTAAGGGATTTAATTATACCTTAAATAAATATAATAATATAAAGAAGGTATAAAAGGCTATAATAATTAAGTAAGTAAAGTTTAAAAATATATTTAGCTTTATAATTATTATTAATAAAATAATATAGCTTAAAGGAATAATTAGCTTTAATATTATTTAAAATAAAAAAGTTAATATTATTTAAGGCTAATAATTATAATCTTATAATATAGAATTCTTATTATATTAATTATAAAAATAAGCTTTTAATAAGATATAAATAATAATTAAAATAAAAAAAAAAAAAAAAAGTAAATTAAGTTATTAAAAAGAAAAAGAAAGTTTTTAATTTTAATAAGAAAATAATAAATAAATATATAATAAATTTTATAATGCATTTTTTAAAAATATAATATTTTATATTTAAACTTAAGGCTAAATTTAATTAAGTAAATAAATATATATAAAAAGAAATTTTATATTATAATAAATATATATATATATATATATATATAAAAATAACCCCCCTTTTCTTAAATAAATACTTAAGCTAAGATTTAAAAGTATTATTAAGCTAGTTATATTAAAAATATTAAGGGTTATTTAATTAAAGTAAAGGAATATTAATAAATTATAAAGATTTATTTTTTAAGTTTCTTTATTTTATATATAAGTATATTATAAGTTTAATATTTTAAATATTAAAGTTTAAAAAATTTAATAAGTTTAAGCTTATAAATAATTAATATATTTAAGTAATAAATAAAGATATATTTAATTAATTTTAATAATAATTAAAGTTAAGGTTATTTAAAATAAGGTTAAATAAGTTAAATTTTATTAAAATATTTAAAAAAAGGTTATTATTTATAATAGCTATAAGATTAGTTTTTTAAAGTAAATAAGGTTTAGGTTTTTATATTTTAAAATAATTAATAAATCTTTTTAATTATTTTAATAAAAATATATTTAAAAGATAAATATTATTAAATATTTAAAGTTTATAAATATTATTATAATAAATATTATAAATAATAAAAGGATTAAATTAATAATAAGTTAATTTTTAAAATAAAAAATAATTAGCTTTTTTTTACTTATTAATAAATAAAATTAAGTTATTTTTTTTTAAGGAAATAAGTTAAGGAAAACCATAATATATATTTTACTATATAGCTTTCCTTTTATAATTAAAGATTAATTTAATTATTACCTTTATATTTTATAGGAAATTAAGGAGTAATTAAAGCTAAGAATTAAAAGCATTTTAAATAAAAATATTTAAAGTTTAAGTTTAAATATATTATATAAAAATAATAATTTTAATTAAAATAATTAATTTAAAGCTATAAAAAAGATAAAAAGGATTTTTTTTATAAAATCTTTTAAGTAAAGT